AGGTCCCGAGACGTTTCTTGCTTATATATTGGATACTAGGAGTTCTCAGTCTGATATTGAAGGTATCCGGATTCTGGTTCCACTCTAGTTTCAATGGCTCTTTATCGTATGGCCCCAAAGGAGCTTAAAGAACTGAAAGTCCAACTCCAGGAGTTGTTGGACAGGGGATTTATCTGACCTAGTGTATCACCGTGGGGAGCCCCAGTTATCTTTGTCAAGAAGAAAGATATGATATTGAGACTTTGTATCGATTATAGGAAACTGAACAAGCTCACGGTTAAAAACAAATATCATTTGCCGAGAATCGATGATCTATTTGACCAATTTCGAGGGGCTTCTATCTTCTCAAAAATAGACTTGAGGTCTGGGTATTATCAACTCAAAGTGAAAGATTTGGATATTTCGAAGACTGCTTTTCGAACTCGGTATGGGCATTATGAGTTTTTAGTGATGTCATTCGGGTTAACAAATGCCCCTGCTTTTATGGATATGATGTATAGGGTGTTTTGACCTTATTTGGACTAGTTTGTAGTTGTGTTCATCGATGACATACTGGTGTATTCTAGAAGTGAAGCAGAACATGAGGAGCATTTAAGGATTGTTCAACAGACTTTAAGGGATAATAAGTTATACGCTAAGTTGAGCAAGTGTGAGTTTTGGCTCAGCGAAGTGACTTTTCTTGGACATATCATTTCTGCAGATGGTATTCGGGTAGATTCAAGCAAAGTGGAGGCTATTCTGAATTGGAAGCAACCCAGGAATGTTTCTGAGAATCGTAGTTTCTTGGGCTTAGCTGGTTACTACCGTCGTTTCGTTAAGGGGTTCTCCCTTATTGCAGCTCCTCTAACGAAACTATTGAGGAAAGATATTCCATTTGTCTGGTCTGAGAACCAACAAGCTAGCTTTGAGAAACTGAAGATTGTTCTAACTCAAGCCCCAGTACTGATTCAGCCTGAATCTGGGAAGGATTTTTCTGTCTACAGTGATGCTTTTCACTCTGGATTAGGTTGTGTTTTGATGCAAGATAGGAAGGTTGTCGCTTATGCTTCACGTCAATTAAAGCCGCATGAGTGTAATTATCCTATTCACGATCTGGAGTTAGTTGCCATAGTTTTTGCTTTAAAGATCTGGAGACACTACCTATACGGAGAAAAGTGTTATATTTATACTGATCATAAGAGTCTGAAATATCTGCTTACTCAGAAAGAATTGAATTTGAGACAGCGTCGCTGGTTGGAGCTTCTAAAGGACTATGATTTGGAGATAGAATATCATCCAGGGAAGACTAATGTAGTGGCAGACGCCTTGAGCCGTAAGGCGATATCAGATCTCAGAGCCTTATTCGCCAACTTGAGTTTATTTGATGATAATAGTTTGTTAGCAGAGTTGCAGGTTAAGCCTACTTTGGCCAAGGAGATTAAGACCAAACAAATTCTGGATAGCTCATTGCTTTCCATTATTGAGCAAGTTAAACAAGGATCGAGTTCAGAGTATACTGTGGATCAGGATGGTATTTTGTGTTTTCACGGTCATTAATGCGTCCCTAAAGATGATGAGTTGAGACGGGTTATTCTTCAGGAGGCTCATAGTAGTCCTTATGCTATGCATCCTGGCGGGGACAAAATATACAATAATCTCAAAGAACGCTACTTTTGGACTAATATGAAGAAAAATATTTCAGATTTTGTGGTGAGGTGTTTGACTTGTCAGCATGTTAAGGCAGAGCACCAGTATTCATCTGGATTGTTACAATCAATTAAGATTCTTGAGTGAAACGGAAGCGCATTACGATGGACTTCATTACTGGTCTTCCTTTGTCTCCTTCTAAAAAGGATTCTATTTGGGTGATTGTTGATCGACTCACTAAATCAGCGCACTTTATCCCTATCCGGATTAATTATTCCTTGGGCAAACTGGCTAAGTTGTACATTTCTGAGATCGTTAGACTTCATGGTGTTCCGTTGTCTATCATATCTGATCGAGATCTGAGGTTCACTTCCAGGTTCTGGAAGGCTTTGCACGAGGCTTTGGGTACCCGTTGATGGACAGTCAGAGCGAGTAATTCAGGTGTTGGAGGATATGTTACGGGCTTGTGTGATTGATTTTCCTAGTAGTTGGGAAGATTTCTTGCCATTAGCTGAGTTTGCTTACAATAATAGTTACCATGCAAGTATTCACATGGCACCGTACGAGGCTCTGTATGGACGTAGATGTCGTACATCTATATGTTGGACAAAGTTGCATGATAGAAAAACTTTGGGTCCAGACTTGATTCGAGAGACTGAAGATACTGTCAGATTGATCCGTGATCGCTTAAAAGAGGCATTTGATAGGCAGAAATCATACGCAGATAACCGACGTAAGGATATTGAGTTTGAGGTTGGAGATCAGGTTTTTCTCAAGGTATCTCCATGGAAGAAGGTATTGAGATTTGGACATAAGGGTAAACTAAGTCCGCGATTTATTGGTCTGTATCGTATTTTGAAGAAAGTTGGACCTGTTGCTTATTAACTTGAGTTGCCTCCCCACCTCAGTCGTATTCATGATGTTTTTCATGTGTCTATGTTGAGGCGATATCGTCCAGACCAGGATCACATCATTCAGGTTAACGAGGTAGAGCTCAGACCTGATTTGTCATATCAGGAGGAGCCTGTTCAAGTTTTAGAGAGGGATGATCGAGTTCTTCGGAATAGGCGTATTCCAATGATCAAAGTTCAATGGAGTAATCGTAGCCCCTAAGAAGCTACTTGGGAGACGTTGGAATCAATGGAGGTTCAATTTCCTCATCGATTTTCATAAGGTAAATTTCGAGGACGAAATTTCTTGTAGATGGGGAGAATTGTAACAACCCAAAAAATTGGAATTTTTTTTAATTTAATTGTGTAAATTGGTGAAAATTTGAGGACTAAATTGAAAGTTTTTAAAATTTGTAGCCTATTTTAGAGTTGAAGAAAATTCAGGGACCAAGCCCTGAATTAACCCAAAAAGTGTCGACATGCTTTCTCTTTAAACGAAATGAATTGGTTTCTGCGTGAAAACACAGAAACCAATTCATAAAATCCCCTCCCATACGCCCAACTTCCAACCTCGATTCCGACGCCGTCCGACTTCCGATCGTCGTTTTGAAAACACCATCGTGTTCGTTATCTAGTGAGGAACAATTCCCTTAAATTAATTGAAGTGAAACGCTGCCAAACGCCGAGAATTTCCAGTCAAAGTCTCTACTTTTTTTTAGCTCAATCGCCGAGAAAATCTTAAATTCATCACCGATCGTTGCTCCGTTTACTACACCTCCCGGACCATCGTGTTCCTTGTGCCGTTCCGAGTCCGCCGGTGCTATCCTCGGTCTCCGTCGATGACGGCGTGTGGGGAGATGAAGCGGTCAAAGTTTCCGATTTGATAAATCGAGCTCTCTGCCGTTTAAAAATTTGAACCGATCTTTATAAGTATCTCGAAATCGCTCAAAATAATTTTTAGAAAATTTTTCGTGAATTTTACGCAACCAGAAGACACCTCACGCGCCGCTACTGCGCGTGGAGAAGGTTGAAATGACCAGTTTAACCGGTTTTGACCCGACCCGTTAACCGTTAACCGTTGACCGGGTGACATTTTGGGGATTAATTCGAAATGATTGCTATTTTAGGAATTAATTCAAAATAGGTGTTATTTTGGGAATTTAATTCAAAAGTGCTATATTGGGAATTTAATTCGAAAAATGTGCTATTTTGGGAATTTAATTCGAAAAGGTGTTATTTTAGTAATTATTTTAAAAAGGATGCCATTTCTGTAAAATAGTTGACAGTTTGTTGACCTCCTTTGACTAGAACTTTGACCGGCCATTAAAAAACCGTTAATCTTTTTCGAAAATGCCTATCCTGGCATTTTTCGACGTCCCAAATCTGTTTTTGGGGCGGTTTCACACAATTCAAACCCGAAAGTCTCCAAATTGTCAGTCAAACCCGTTGACTTTGATTTTGACCAAGAATTCAATTTTCGGAAAGTCATACTTTATGTTTTTCGACGTCCTGAATCTGATTCCGAAGTCCGTTTTGCCAAATTCTGACCCGAAATTCCCGAATCGAGCTTGTAAACCCAAAATGCTTAATATTTTAATATTTTGATTATTTAATTGAGATTTGGTTAAGGAATTGATTCAATAAAAATATTTTATGAATGTAGTGTTTCACCTGAGTAAGGATCAATTAGGTCCGATGTTGTCCGTTCGTTAGATCAGCCTGAACCGCGTACTACGGGAATTACCCGTATGTTTCCGTATATTATTTAAATAATATTTAGATTATTTATATTAGGTTTCCAATATGGATTTTTCCAATTCGTAAGATCTAGCGCTGCAGCAGAGCGTGATCGACAAAACCAGTAATAAGCTTCTCTATTTGATTTCTCAGACTGTTACAGATGTGTTTCATGACAGTGTTATTTTACTGTTTTAAAAATATTGTTTGAATTGTTTTAGATTGGTAATAATTCATAATACTGTTATGACATGATACGTGATTCCTGAATATTGATTTCATGATATTTGATTTCTGTATTTCGGTATATGGTTTTTTTTAAAACATGAATTATTCACCAATTTTACTTGAATACATACTTGTTTATTACTGACATTGGGGGGGAAATTATTGGAGGAAGAATACTTGCAGGCTCCTTGGCTTTGTGCTCAGGGCCTTACTGGACGTGACGGGTGTATGGTTCTGGGGTACCTACACATTTTGTTCGTGACGGATAGGGGTAGTGTTCATATTTTAAATAAAACAAACATGTTTGATGAAATGATTTTACTGAAATATTTTATTAAAATGTTTTTATACACTGTTTGAAGCACATTGGGATTTTTAGCTCATTCTATAGTTTTTTACCCTTTTTCAGATAACAGCATACCGTAAGCTATCAGATTTGGCATCAGGGGAGATCAACTACTTATTTTGTACGAACATATATCTTTACATGCTTTCCGTTGTATCTGGTGACATGTATTTGCTATCGTTTTGGATATATTTGTATTATTAATATTTTGTTTTGTATTATATCTAATGTATTATAAGTTGTTTTAAAAAAATACCTCTGAATGGAATACGTGACCACTTAGGTTTGGGTCTAACTTACAGACCGGGTCTGGGGGGTTACAGGTACCCCTGTAGGGTATCGATATTTCCCTAGTTGTGGTATCGATACCCATATTGCATTATGTAATTCTCGTTTCAAAGATGGTATCGATACCGTCCTTATGGTATCGATACCCCTTGGTATCAATATTTTTCTTAAGGTATCGATACCTCATGAATGTCTTCCCTATTTTTACTCTTGAAGTATCGGTACCTGATGAAGTAGTACCGATACCCATAGTTCATAAATCATTTTTTAAGCCCAAAAATTCATTCATATCAGCTTAAATTCTTCATGCTTCATTCCCTTTCATACTCTTAACTCACATACACATACGTAAACTCATTTATCACAGCTTTATCTTCAAAATTCTATCCTCTATATAGAAATCAAGAATCATACCAAATTTTCAATAAGTTATACTTTCAATTCTAACACTTCCTATTTCTTAATTAGGTTGATGACAAGTCAATTTCAGTTTCAAACTTTATTTACTAACCCTTTTCCAAGATTTCACTTATTCCCCTCTTATCTTCAACCATTCCTAACTTCCTTATCTTTTGATTTTAAGATAACTTAAGCTTCCCTTAAGTTTAAGTATCATCTAATGATTAAAACCCATGCTTAACTTTAACTAATAATCAGCTAACAAGAAAACTCACATTTCCAATGCCCTTCACGTATGGAGGAAGAGGAATAAGAATAAGAAGAGAACTCTCGAACCTTAATTTTGCCTCCTCACTATTCCACGTGGGTTTAATATAACAACTACCAAATTGATTATCTTGCTATCAAATGACTATTTTTCCCTTCCATTTCTTCTCCCTTGCTATTTAATCTTATACAAAATTTATAATATAAGTACATGAACTATTCAAATTATCTACTTTAGTCACAAAATTCTGAAGTTTTATAATTTAGTCACTAACCCGGTATTGAGGATGTTACATCAATATTGAATCTAAGCACGAGCTTTGTGTCTGAGAGCCACATGTCATTTACCAAGATCCACTCTAGAGAGATTGTCTTGTTTGAAAAATGTTTTTCTTTCTCTTTTATTTTCAAAGTTCTGTAAATATCAATTAAAAGAGTTTCAAAAAATGTTTAATCAAAAGTTTTGAAAATATTGTCCCTTTCTCGGTTTTACAATTGAGACGAATCATAAAACTAGAGTTCATTAGATATCAAAGAATTAATTACATTGTTAATCCTTCAATAAATTATAGTTATTTGACATGTGTCAAGATCAAAGCTATCTTTGGGAAATTGTTATGTAAGGAAAGAATAAAAAAGTCTCAGGTTATTGTGTTTGGTCAAAGGTTTGGCATTTTTGTTTATTTGATGCTCAATGGTTTGATGGGGTAGCTTGTATGTACTTCTACTGGAAGTGTTCTTCGACTCCCAGCTTTCATGGTCACACTCGGATTATGCGATGCCTTATCAAGGAATTTATGTGATTGCCTCAGCTACACAATTTTATATTCAAGCCGCCTTTTTAGGTTTTCAACTCGAATCCTCCTTTGGTTTCAAGATGTCATTTAGAATTTACGCCTTAAACCCTCTTTTGTTATTTTTCTCTATCATGTATTAAAGATTTTAGAAAACCTTTACAAATAAAGATTAATCCTGATGAGCGAAATGAAATCTGAAGATAGTCTCTTCTGTTCAGAAATCCATGTATATTATAAGGGACTTTTAAGGCACGTAATGTTGGTCATGGTTCATGGTTATGAAAGAAAGGGATAAAAGTCCCAAACAAGTATTTAAGGGTGATTGAACTAAGGATCAATTCAGTTTGATGTCTTTAATTTTGTCTTGCTCAATTTGAACCTGCTTATATGTGTCTCTCTCTTGATGCTCTATGATCTTCGAGTGAAGTGATTCTGGAATAATTGTGCTTGATCAATCTCATAGTTTGAAACTTGATGCGCCATTTGACTCGAGGGAATCTTTATATGTGTTTCTTGTCCCTTTTTCTTTGTTTATTTTCTCTTTGATTCTTTTTTTATTTTTGTTCTTTGCTTTTATTTATGCTTTGATTTGATCTTTACACTTGGCATTTGGTTCACCTTGCGGTATCTCCTCTGATTTGATGTCTTTATTCATGCGAACAGATTTCCTCAACCTTACCCCCTAGTGTGGAGGGTGATCATTGGTTAGGGTTGAATCAGAGGAAAAATATTATAAGATCAAAAGGGGACAACAAGGGATATATATATACATGTATGGATAAATGAAACAAAGTCGTTCATCGTCTCATACACAAAAATCCTCACAGAAGAGATATCCCTAGGGGGATAGATTTTCAGGATTAATTTTATTCACATGAAAACAGTGTAATTAATGCATGATAGAATTATTTTGAATTAATTCTTCTTTCTGCTTCTTGCTCCCAACATGTCTCAATGTTCAGGCTTCCTGCGAGATGCCCCAAGTTATATCTTAGAAGAAGGCTCATGTTCAAATGAAAAACCTAATGCCGTAGGTTTTATTGGTATAAAAATGTCAATTTTGCATCTAAAAAGACAATGGTGTGACTTTGTTGACCCAAAGAAAGGTATGTGTATGACTCTTTGTGTATCGAAAAGATAAAGGCAATGTTCAAAAGTTTCAAAGGGAGGTAATGTCAAAATCTGGTCTTTTGGTATTGACCATAAGTTATTTTGGGTAAAGAATCAAGATATTTTATTTTGGGGTTTTAGACAAGATAAGAGAGGTCTAATCTTGCCATATGTCAAAAATCTATAATTCTTGAAGAATTAAAAGAATCCTTAATTTATTTAATATTCAAAGAACTAAATATTAAAACTCGTTCAATTATTCCACCTTAAAAGGTAGCATAAATTCAGTCGTTTAAAAGATTAAACAAACATGAAAGATAAAAAACATGTTCAAACAAAACAATGCTCTCAATGGAAATGGTAGATGCATTGCCCCTTTCTTCGATTGTCCATGCCCCTGAATCCATCAGGTTTTGGATCTTGCGTTGTGCCTTACAGTTCTCAGAGGAATTCGTGGAGCTTCTTATGCGGTAACTGCACACAACTTCAACATCGTAGCCCTTAGAATATAGGGACTCTTTTCTCATATCATCCTGGCAGGCATAGTCCTACAATCAGCTGATCATGCTCTCATTGTATTGATTTTAGTTTTTTCTTTAATTGTTAAAATCTTGCTTCCATGTGGTGTCATGTGGTTAAGACGACTTCATTGAATCATCCATGAAGAAATTTCATGTTTATTAAAATGCTTAAAAATGAAACGTATATGCAAAATGCAAAAATGCATGAAATGTTCGAGGCATTGATCTGAAAATATGTCTGTTATTATAAATAATTTTTATTGGGACAAAAGTGTTATTTCTTAAGAGACAAAAACACCATAAAGGTACATTCTGACTAAGTCTTCTAGACTCGAAATAGGTTGACTAGTCTTCTACCTTTGTCTGTCACCGGTCGAATACCCTGTCGAATCGCTCCGGCTTCTCTGGCTAAACCGTGCAAGTGACGAGCTACTTTTTGTACTTGTTCCCAAAAGTATCGAATGACTTCATCTCTGGCTTTCATCCTTTGCTGAACCTGTTCTCTAACGGAAACGCCATTGAAATCCTTCATCAAAGGGATTATCTTAAGTTCATTTGATTATTTCTTGAATTTGTCGACAATGGCTTCCAATTCAACTATCGTTTTACCATCTTATTATTGTTGTCTTTTAAGGGACTCTCGAGGTCAGTAACATTTTTCTCGTCTTGCTCCTGCAACCTTTGCCAACTCATTTTTGAAAAGTTAACTTTTGATGTACTTGATTGTGGGCACCACCACGTCTTTTTGATTGAATGTGACAACAAGTTGCCTTGCAGATTATCCTCATTTTCCTTCGGAGTCTTTTCTGACCATAGCCAGACCTCTGTGTTTTCCATCTATTGTATTACAACCCCTTTATCCATTAATACAAACTATTTACATTTAACGAACACATTTTTGTGGATCAATACCTCTTTTGAATGATGTAAATGATGAAAATAAAATGAAAGAAAACAAAATGAAAAGAGTTAGTGAGGTAAATCAAAAAAAATAATGAAAATAAAAAGTTCTACCTCACATGATATCTACCCCACATGCTTATTATTCCTACTCGGACATGATCTCTATCCTACATGTTAGTTTTAAACCAATCCTAACTGCATAAATTTTTAGTTCACATGCTTTGAACAGAAAATAAAGCAGGAAATGATCTCAAAGCAGCCTAGGGTTTGAAATGAGGTTTTGGGGTGGGCTCTAATTCCATGTAGTCTCCCAGTTTAGGTTCTAAATAAGGTACCCGAGTTCTCCTTCCTGGTGCCCCTTGGGCTTGCCAGACCCTTAGTCCTAAGTCCATTACAAGCTCATGCGGACTAAGTTAAACTCGAGATAATTCATTCCCTTATGCCCTCACAATGAATAAATTCACACGAAGACATAAGGTATATGAATCTCGAAGGTTACTTGCTAGGCATATGGGGAGAATAAATTCTTACGAATGCGTTGTTTTCACCCCCACTTAAAAGGGTTCGGAGCTCCGGTATAGAGCCAGAGATGAAAACTTTTCCAAAATCTGAAATCATTGAAAAAACGTTAGTACAACTATTTATTTGAAAAATAATCAAAGATAAATAATTAGAATAGAATAAATAAATTTAAATTTATTATTTTCTCTTAAAAAAGCATCCGAAAATTAATTCTAGCATAACTCACTTACCTGTCCCTTGCAGAGTTGCCAAGTTGTCGCGGTTGTCTTTTGGGTGGGCCCGAAATTAGGCTTCGACTTGAATGAAATATGTTAGAGTCTTCACCGATCATTTAAAAAATATTTAGGTTGATCGGACACCATCTTACATAATCTGCGTTTTACCATAAATATGTTGGATTCGAGAGTCGGTTACAGTCAAGGAAGGATTAGCACCCTTGAACTTCCCTTTCGGTACCATTTTAATTTATCGATTGTCTTAATTGTGAAAATTAAAATTAAAATTAAAAGGCTTGATTCGAATTAATCGTTAAAAAATCATTTTACTCGATAAGAGATCTTGAAAACATTAACTTAATGGATTAAAATAGCAAAAACAAAAACTTAAGTAACAAAATCATAAATAAATAAAACAAGAGATATGACATCAGTGATTAAATTAAAAATAATTAATCCTAAGTGCCAAAAATGAAATAAATAAAAATGTAGAGATTCATGTATTGAAATGAAAAAAATGCCTAAAAGTACAAGGACTAAACATAAATTAAACCAAAAATACATAGCATGCATCAGAAATGGGTAAACTATGAAAACGATCCATGCAGGTGATTATTTTAAAACATGCCAAACTTAGGGGATTTAAAGTGTAATTTTCCCCTAAAGTTTTCTATAAATATCACATTTTTTTATTTTCATTTTATTTGCTTTTAAAATATTTTTAGAGAGGGTCTCCCGTCTCTAGAAAATCGACCAATCGCCGGTGGATTACCTCCGCCGGCCACTGGCTCCATCATCGCCAACCACCTCTTGCCGTCATCGCCTCCAGTGGCTTCGTTCGTCGTAAAAAGGCCAAAACCGTTTGGCTTTCTTTTCTCTGACCCACTGTCGTCCGATCGTCCTGATTTTTTAGTATGTTGTTCATGTTGACCTTACGCAACTTTTCACCATTCTGAGCTGGTAGAATGTAATACCCTTTTCTCTTGTATTTTTTTATTTCGAACATATAGGATAGAAAAGAAGGAAAATAATAATAATATGCTACTGGAACGAATGAAATAAAAAACAAGATGTTGTTGTATCAATTTTCATTGGAAGAATTTTCGGGAGAAAAATCCCTTTTTACATTGCTTGGTTCGAATGAACCTTAAAATCAATAGCCTCTTTTTTTTACTCAAACATTCCCTTTACATTTTTTCATTCGAATTCCCCTTGGTTTCTCTCTGTATTTTTCTTTTTTCCCCTCTCCACCGAATATCTCCCTCATTTATGGTTGAATGTGGTTTTTTTTTTTGTGATTGGTAGTGAGTAGGATAATTAGGTTATGATAGTGGGTAGTAGTGGATAGTGGGTAGTGGTGGATAGTGGGTAGGTTAGGTAATAATTAATAATAATAATAATAATAAAAACAATAAAAAATTAAACCCGGATAAAAATGGGTGTCTACAATGAATATATTTGATCACTCGTTAATTAATAATTTTTCGTTTGATATAATTTAATATATGATTAGAGTTATTAAATATTTGATTATAGATTTACGGGTAATCTCATACCTTAAGCCGCCAATATAATCATTTTATATATGTGTTGAGACCACATAATTGATGCCTAAATTGAGGGTTTAGGCCAGGGTTTAGGGTTTAGGTGTGTAGTGTATATTAATGCAGTTGGGTGGTTCTCTTTATCTCGTAATGTTAGTTTTAATTTTCTTAATATATTTTGATGTGGTTTACTTGAGTAATTGAAAATTTGCTAACTAAATATATTGCGTTCAACTATTATTATAATTATTATGGATTTTTACATTATTTTCTTAAGTAAACTATACGTTTAGTACTTAAATTACTTTTATTCTGTTTGATACTTAAATTTGAAAGTTAGAGTGACTAAAACATAAATAATTTAAAAGTTGAGTAATTCAATTGAAAAATTTTAAACTTTAGGATCAAAATAGGAGTAAGAAGATAGTTAAGTGATAAATGAAGTAATTCACCTATAAAAATACAACGTACAACAAATCTGCTAGATTTTTAATGACATGATACCAAAATGTAAAAAAAATAAACATTAGGTGTGATTTTGTAAAAGATGAAAAATTAGGTACCAAAACGGGATAAAATTTTAGATATTAAACTTGTGGTTTACCCTTATTTCTTTTGGCCGCTTTTATTTATTTATTTATTTTGATTAATTGGAGTAAGTAAGGTAAAATTTGTTTAAATGATATTCTCAACCATTTGATATTGAAGGTTCTCAACATGACATTCCTGGTGCTAGAATCTGAGACCTTAAAGAATAACAATACCGAGATCACTTGATTCGTGTTTATCCTCTTTTATTATATATTCCTTTATATTGGTGTGAGCGGTGTAAAAATCACCTCAATGATACCAAAGTGATGAGGTTGTTCTCTAATCATTGTCATCAATTTAAATATGTGTTTAGATTTTTATGATTTGAGTTTGCCAAAACAACGAATTAAAATGCATATTTTATGAAAACTTTAACTCTAAATTTTAAATCAGCTAAACCTAAAACCCTAAAATTTCTAACCCAAAAGCCATAAACAAATGGAATAGCCCCCCATGTTGAGTGGGTCACCATGTAGGATAAAGATGCTTCTGATAAGTAAATGAGTTTCATTCGGGAAAATAATCTATGGAGGATACTAGATTGGAAAATAATATTTTAAGGGTTTTATTTTTAGTAAAAAAGACAAAAAGTGTATTAAGTTATAAAAAAGAAAACTAGCCGACTAGCCGTTAGAAATTTCAATTTGCAGGTAACGGTAAAATAGCTCCCACCTTGACAAACCGACGTCGTTTCCGCTTGCTTTCTCCAAATTAAAATCCAAAAGCACTCTTTGAAACCCTCGCAAGTCATAACTCACATCTCTCTTGCTCTCTCTGTATACGAAGAGCAGGAAATAAACCTTCATTTGTGATAGTGGATCCGTTCTTCGTATGCCCATTTGCTCACTTTCTGTTAACAACTCCCTTTGAGTTTGATTCCATTCGGAAAACCTTTGTGGGTCTGTTTTTCTTTCTCCTTTCAAAACTCCTTTGTGAATTTTCCTTTGTGACCAAAAGAAGGGAATGGCAACTGCAAATGGGTACACGGGAAACACACCAGTTGCCACTATCACTGGATCAAAACAACTTACCCCCACTGCTAGGACTGTTGATTCTCAATCTGTTCTTAAAAGGTTTTTTTTCTTTTTAATGTTTTCCCTCTTTTATTAGTTGCATTGGATTTTGTTTCTTAACTAGGTGAAAGTTATTGATTTTTTTACAATGTTTTTTATTTGTATCTTCTCTTGGTTTACGGTGTCAACAGGTTGCAAACAGAATTGATGGCTTTGATGGTAAGAATTGAACTCTAATGCCTTGAATCTGTTTGATTAATGACAAAGAAAGTTCTCTAAATTTATATATTGTATGATAGATGGGTGGGGATCCTGGAATCTCAGCATTCCCAGAAGAGGACAACATATTTTGTTGGAAAGGAACAATTAAAGGAAGCAAAGACACAGTATTTGAAGGAAAAGAATTCAGGCTCTCTCTTTCATTCCCCAATGATTACCCTTTTAAACCCCCAAAGGTTAAGTTTGAGAGTGCCTGTTTCCATCCCAATGTTGATGTCTACGGAAACATTTGCTTGGACATCCTTCAGGTAAAAAAAGATTATTATTTTTTTTTCAAAGGACCAAATTTTGTTGAACAAAAGAAGAATTATTGTTTGTGTTTGTAGGATAAATGGTCATCTGCTTATGATGTAAGAACCATACTGCTGTCTATTCAGAGTCTGCTTGGAGGTATCTATTGTGGTTTCTTCTTCTCTTCTATTGTTAGTGTATTACAATGAAATTTAGAAGATTTCTTTAAAATGCAGAACCAAACATTAGCTCACCATTGAACACCCAAGCAGCTCAGCTTTGGAGCAATCAAGAAGGTAATATAGATTGAATACAAAGAGCTTGGCATTTTAATGTTTTATCAGTTCCATTGAATCTGAATGTGGTTGTTTTATTGTTTCTGGGTTTTGCAGAGTATAGGAAGATGGTTGAGAAGCTTAATGCATGATTTTCAGAAATCAATACAGATGTATTCTTTGTCTAGAGTTATTACAACGATATGTGTTTTTATGTTTTGCTTTAATGAGTTTTTAAAATGAGATATATGTTTTTTTTATTGAGTTGTTGAGAAGCTTGATGTATAATCTGATCATCAAAACACATTCCAAACTGACGAGTGTAGCACGTAATAATGAATAAATGGATCAAACACTTTCTCGACTGCAATTCAGCCATGTTTGCCAATCTAACATTTGTAGTTTCTTCTAGTTAAGGTCAATATTTAGTATATTTAAGAAACCAATCTGATTGAAATCACGCAAATAGCCAAGAGTTCCGTGGTTATATTTGTGATGAATTTAACAATACTGTTTTTAATAATCATATATTTTAGATTAAATGAATATTTGAGTATTGAATTTATTCACTTTTATCATTTAAGTCCTTGAAGATTCTTCTTATTTTGTTGCATTACATGGACATTATTTTATGTAGATATGTGTGTGTTAATTAGAACAATAATGCTCTTGGAAAAAATAGAGACCTTACTAAAAGTGAACTAAAATTGTATTGCAAGTTTCAAATGTTGGGTGACCAAAATGCAAGCAGCCTAAAAGTTCGGGGACTATTTATATACTTTACCCTTAATTCAAACCCTATTTCACTACCATTGAATAACATAATTGAATCTAAGACCATTCAAAACTTTATGGATATGAAATGAACCATGCAACAACACATTTTAAGACATGGAAGGTGTCCCTGAACACTTTAAAACCTAGTAAAACACCATGCAATTGAGTCTTAAAGCTAAAAAATCACGCAACAATCATAATGGACTTGTAATACCTAACTACAAGCCTCCATAACTTTTAAGGACATTGCAACCTATCAAATTGTCAAAGTGAGAAACTCAAATCATGTAAATAAGCCAGCATACTAATCACATCATCAAACATCAACTAACCAAAATATAATGGTCAATTTATAGCCCATATAAGACCATTACAACCTTATGTTCTTCACATAAGAATAGATAACCATTTAACATATTAATCGAAAATATATATATATATGTCGTTATACCTCAAAATATACAGAAAAAACCTTTACATTGATAGCTTGTGGTGATCCTTCTTCGTGATGCAACAACTAGATCAATTCATGATCAACTCAAATTACTTACATATAAAAAAACAGCGTACACATATTAAGTTTCAGATTTAGTAAGACATAAGGAAATCATAAGGCATAAGCGTTCTATCCAAATGTTAAATTTAGCTTAAAACTATAAAAATCTTAAACTCATATTTACTTTTAATATTGTATTAATTAGAGTTTAATATATATATAAAATCTATGCAAATAAAAATTAACTATTAGATTTACTTCAATTATTTAAGTGTTCCTTATTTTTCAAATTGGCTTGGGTTTGAATTCCACCTTGGCTTGAATCAAATAAAGTAAATTTGTGGGAATCTTTCAATCAAATAGTGACTAATGTCACCATCTGATTAGGTGATTAGATTTATTGAATTAAAAATGTGCCCAACTTTGTTAACTTACATCTCAGTTCCTCCGTTAAATAATGGTTTATGTAGCATCATTTAAATAATTAAATGGTTTGATTGATAAAATTAAAATATCGATAGTCAATTTGAAATATCCATAAGTGGTCATGGTGTAATTTACCCTAAAAAAATAACTTGAATGTACTACAACTTAACCATAAGTTGACTAAGCATCTTTTGAAAACTCCATAGTTGATGAAGAATGAAGATTAGGCTTTAATTTATGGAGATTTGGGTCATAAATGATGGAGATTTTTCACTTTCATTTGTCAAGCATGTTTTGAAAACTCCATAGTTGATTAGAGGATAAGAAAAAGTAAACAGTTTCTCAAAGCAAAATATTCACCACAAAGGACTGCTATACGCAGAGACAATATAGATTCACAGGTTAATTGATGGACCAACAATGAACATTGTACACCCTGTTTAACTCCAGCTTGAGCAGCTTGGTCAGGAATGTACATATATTTGAAGTTTTCCTGAGGGAACCAATATCATTTTCCAGGTAATGTCCATCACCATTGATGGACTTGCCTGATGGCTGAAATAACTTCACCAATCCACAACAATTTGAGAAGAGTCTTGGCTAATTCAAGTAGCAACACCAACGATTCTCCTACAAAATTTAAGCATAAAAAGATCACTATCAGAGTTTGATCAAGAAGTTTGAATAATATCTGAAGAATGTCAGGTTAAGGTTCGAGCATAAGATTTTTTTTAAAAAAAAATAGTTTAAGATGATTACAATGTAATATATGTTTAGAATTTTTTAATCATTAATAACGCATATATACCCTACAGACGCAAATAATTCTCTTTTTACCGCAAGGCAGCTAAATGGTTTCTCAAGCATAAGACCTACTATTTCCTCGATGAACATAAAATGTATCCTTAATAGACATTAGAAATTGAGAAGATTAACGGAAGCGAAATGCATAGGAATGAGTTACCTGCGCGTTCATGCTCGGCCATGTGCTCAGCCAAGGATGGGTGTTCAATTACAATGGAAGACACGGTACGGTCAAAGTGATAGAGTTGGGGAACATGTTCAGGCCACAATCCACCGTGTTCTTTTGACGTTTTTGCTCCAAAATATGATCCTTCCTTTATCATCCACCAAGATTCTCCAAGTACATAAATAAGTGTCTGTGATATAAGAAAAAAGGGTTAGTTTTCAGTTATTTGAACATAAAAAGGGAAAGAAAAGGATGGGGGGGGGAAACGAGTGAAATCAAACCTGTTTGATGACAAAAGAACCCCAAGTGCCATCGACGATGTAGACGAAATTAAGATTACCGTCTCCGACTTCCTTTATCGTTATATCGTTGTAATTTTCGCCGATCTCCGATGAAAAAGACGGCGTCGCTTTTATGTATACGACGAGTTGTTCCTCGTCGAGAGGGCTTAACTTAGAAAATGTCATTTCATTTTATTTTATTTTTTGTGTGTGTGTGGGGGAGGGGGGGGCGGAGCAGCTGGTTTTAAGAGCTGTAAGTGAGAACAATAACTTGAGCGGCGTTACTGTCTGAAAAACTAAATAGGAGGCCATGCCAGTGGCGAAGACATTATGGGGACCATTAAACTAAGATCCATGTCAGATTTGCTGTCTGGTCTGAAAATGAAATAATGGAGTTGGTTTCCACTAAAGAAGATGTATTTGAGGCTTTGTAATTCACTTTTGAAACGTTTTAAATGAACTTGGACATGTCTAGGGGTCAGATACAAGAATCACAACATTGTTCTTGGAAATATTTTATTCTACGTCGTCTAATTATTAATAAAATTACAAATGGATCACTCAATTTCAAAAGGTTACAAATGAGTAACTCAATTTATCGATTGTCTCAAACATATCACTGGATGCGGAAAAATATTATATGACTTTATGATATGGAATATTTTATTTATTAAAATTATTAGACTTTAGAGAGTTACACTAAAATCATTCAATTAATTGATTGTAATAATCGTGTCATTTAATTAATTGATTGTAACAATCATGTCATGTGTTACTGCATCGAACGTTGTTAGCCATCTTATACGATGATCAATGAATCTCAAATTTTATTATAAGATTCTCCATGATATTCTCATTCAATTCATTTGATTATATTCATGAGAATCTCTCTCAAACGCTATGAATCTTCCTAAAACATTTGAACTTCTTGAACTTTAATCTACATCTTCCGCTGTCAAATTGCCTTTATCCCATTATATGCTTTTTTAGGGGTGAGAAAAACTCGACTCGACTCGAAAAAATTTTAAAGTTCAAATCGAATTGTAAAATACAACTCGAATAACATGAAAATTTTATTAATTAGTAGATTGATTTTCAAGTTTGAGTCAAGTCCCTCAACTTTGTATGATATATGTAAATCACATATAAAAAATACAAAAAAATATATATGTATTGTGTATGATTATAAAATATCATTTAAATTAAAATCAAATGATGTCATAATATTATAAATATTTACAATTAAGTTTAAATAAAAACTCAAAATTTTGACTCAACTCGATCGAACGCTAACCCTAATCTTTTTCCTTTCACTAACAATACTCTCTCCACCATTCAGATCATTTAATGGATCCATCGTTTAGAAAAATCAAAACCTAAAATGAGTTTTCCCTTTTGATTAATTGAGTTACTCGTATGTGACTTTTTGAAATTAGATGACCTACATGTAATGTTATTAATAATCGAGTGACCCATTCATAATCTTACTAAAAATTAGATGACATGTGGTGTAACTTACCCAATAAGAAAATCATTGAAAAAATGATCTGATTACATGTTTGATACAATCAATTAATTAAGTAATTCATTTATAATTTTTTAAAATAACTGATCTATTTATAATCTTACTAATAATTGAGTGACTTGTGGTATGATTTATCCTCATCTTGTTTCTATTTTATATTTTCTCTGCGTTAATTAATTAACCAAAATACTCTAAAATGTCTAATTGTGGATATGCTAGGTGTTATTTTGTTTGTGATCCAAGCTTTAAAAATTTGTTTTTTAATCATTCGCGTATTAAGTCAGCAACGACAAGATGATGCATTTTTCCCCGATATGGAAGCTAACTGTTTTCCACCAAACCTTTTTTACCCTTTCATCATATTCTTCACAAAAGGCTTTTTTTCTCAACGACATTAAAGAATTAAAGACACAATGGCTAAAATAGAGAATTTCAATTGGTGATCAATTTTAAAAAGTTTATAGTTGGATAATGAAAACATAAACATACTAGAAGTTAGGTGATTAAAACGTAATTTATCCTAAATATTCATTCCAAATGCACAAAATCCCACATTAACATGACGAGTTAACAGAGTATTTTTTTTTTACATAGAAAACAACATGTTTTAGTTAAAATAAATGACAATGTTAACTATTTGGGTTAATTAATGATATTATAAGTTTTGTCGAATCATATTGTTGAAGGAACTTGTTCAACCTCCTTTTGGTGCTTCACTATCACCGACGACTTTTAACATGCTTGGCACAGTGATCGCCTACACTGCTTAGAAGTATCATGTTTATCTCAAAAAAAAAAGACATGATTTTTTTAATTGTCAATTCAAACTTCTATTAATGTGTTAATAATACTTAACGGTCGATAAATCAATGTTGAAATACTACAGTTTTATTGATAGAAATTACTATATATTTTACAATGAGAGAATTTGCTTATATAACATCCTTCACACCTATTCAACACGACTATATGCTATTCAGATAGCCTCACTGGCCTTAACAACCTATACACGCAAGTATAACAGCTTAACCGACTTTCTTCCCTCACACCCTAACGACCATAACATAAAAGATCAAAATTATTATTTTTTAAATCGGTAACTAAAATCGAATAGATTGAAAATATCAGTGACCACACGTATGGTTTCCCATATAATTAATTTAGGTGCGAATAAATAAGCCCACCTTCCAGGTAAACCAAAGAAGTAAGGAAGGAAAGAAAGCCCATTTTGGTTCATCTCTCCAACTCTCAAATCAATTACCGAAGCGACGATAACATCAATCGCCCATGGGAGATTCCGTCCCTACTTCTCGCATATCAGTTCATCAAGCTCTGGGCGGTGGCTTAGGTCTCATATATTTCTCTCTCTTATCTCTCTCAATATATATATATATATATATATATATATATATATATATATATATATATATATATATATGTACATCACTTCATTTCCGGGTAGATCTGTTTCACTTCTATTAACGCTTACCTCATCATATCTATGAATTGATGTTTTTGGGTTTTCTGTTTTCTTCTTTCGATTACTAATATTTTCAGAGTTCAGTTACAGCACGAATAATGCGTTAATTATATTGTTCAACATCATTCTTTTAAGTTTACATGATTCTGATTTATTTTGGGTTTGTTATTTTAATTTTTGGGTCTGGAGGTGCGCGCGTTAATTTAATTTATGCCATTTTCGTTGTAGCTGCTGATGTGCTATTATGGAGAAAATGGTGTGGCGGAGTTGTAATTCTAGCCTCGGCAACGGCGTTTTGGTGCCTCTTTGAGTTTGCTGGTTATAGTATCGTGTCTTTCGTGGCCAATGTATTATTGCTTCTTGTTGTTATTCTCTTCTCCTGGGCCAAATCTGCTTCACTTCTTAACAGGTATTGCTCAATATTGGTGTATTATCCTCGTCTTTTGTCATTTCTATGCTTTCTGGCTTTCTGCACCCTAGAAAAGGAACAAGTTAGATGGTACCCTTCCTTTATTAGAACAATACGTGAGGATTTATTTTAGAAGAAATCCATTTATAAAGGGATAAAATGGAAGTTAATTGTACTGTTTGATTTGGGTTTAATGTGGGAAGTGATTCTGGCTTCTGATACAGACCTTTGCCACCCCTTCCTAATTTGGAAATTTCTGAGAGGAGTGCTGTGAAGATTGCCAAGGAGTTACAAGTGTGGGTCAATTATGCATTATCGATTGCACATGACATTACACTTGACAGGAATTTTAAACTCTTTTTGAAGGTTTAGTTTTACCTTTCTATAAGGGCATTCTCCATTTGTTTCATATAAAACTTTAAAATATATTTGCCTTATGTGTCTGGTTCTCAGATTGCTGTTGTCTTGTGGTTTGTTTCTTACATCGGTAGTTTCTTCAACTTCCTCACTTTTGTTTATATTGGTGAGTTTTATTGAACCCTATTAACTTCTATGAACGTGATGAGTCCATTTTTATTCAAATATGCTTATTTCATTCAGTATGTTCTGCAGGAATTGTTCTGAGCCTATCAGTTCCCATGCTATATGATAAGTATCAGCACCATATTGATGAGAAGCTTTCTGTAACACACAAAACCATGCAAGCAAAGTACAGGAAAATTGACGAAACAGTATTGAGGAAGCTTCCATCGCTCTCTAATAAAGTAAAGAAGATGCAGTAGGTAAGTTTGCTTCTCTCTGCATTTTGATTATATCAGTTTACAGCTTATTCATCATTTAGTCTATTATCCGTGCAATAATTTGCATTTTATTGAACTATGCTTGGAGAAACAGGTGGTTATCTAAATATCAGAAGGCATACTTTCCACAATTTAAATTTTCTAGATCTAGAATATCATTATTCTGATCTAGAAATCTATCCATATTATGCACGAGTTTGAGATTTGATACCTTTATGATAAAGCTGTAATGTCACATTGAGCAAACTTAGCTGAGTTTAGCCATTTGGAAATCTTATCCAAGAGAGCTACGAATTATGATCAAACCATGACTTGGTGATAGCAAACCATTTTGCCCCTAACAGGTCCACTTTTGAGGCCAGCTGAGATGAGATATAAAATGAATGTCACTAAAACATTTAACCAGGATTTTGTCTTTTGGTAAATTGGCAAGTTCTGAATTGTCTCTTCAATCTAAGGATCATATGCTGTTACTGTGATATAGGTGCAGTTTGTACAAAGTGAGAATCATGTAATTTTATTGATTTAAGAATTTTACAAGACATCTAGACTTAAAATCTCTAATGTAATTAATGTTGAACACAAACTTGCATGCTTTACCAGAGAAGGTAGGCAAGTTTTGGGAATTTGATGTGATAAATATACACGATTGAACTACTTGCTTTTGGTTGCAGCGCACTTGAGACAAAATGTTAATCGTTAAACTGTGTTGTTTGGATTCAGTTGTTGCCGCTCTGTTTCACTCTCACTAAAGCATATGCACTTATTTTATACAGGGCATTCAGGTGGTTGAGTGTGAATAGGGGCATAGGATTGGGTTTCTCATGATGTGATGCTTTTGATTCCTTTTTGCTTGGATTTCATCAGTTTCCATTTACAATCGGGGTTATAGCAGTCGCTGGTAGCAGGTCTAACCTTAATAACTTGTTTTTTGAGGAGCATTATCTTGTATGCACCTATGTGGGATCCTTATATTCTTGATTAAGTTTTGGTCTGCGGTTTATACATTTGTGGAGCTTATACATTCCCTTTTTTCTGTATGAACTTCTCATCATCCCAGTATGGATTGGAAGGTGTAGAGTACTTGTATGGTGCTTGCTTTGTTTTCAAGGAGAATTGTTTTATGTAATTGACATAAATAGGAATCTGTATTATTCTAAATTCCGAAGGTTGCCACTTTTGTTTTGCATTATAAAACCCCAGCATTAGAGGTGATTTCCAGCTCTTCGTTTGTAAATTGTATTGTCGTCAAAGAAATTTCATGGGTCGCTTTGTTGAATACGACTGAGAGATCTGATAGTTCTACTCTAAATTAAATTAAATTAAAATATATAACGTATGAAATACTATATATAAATAAAAAAATTATGCTTAAGTAAATACAATAAAGTACTAGTTGAAAACAAATTAGAGAAGAAACAAAAAGTTAATAGCTTGAAGAAACGACAGCAGCTTGTGACAGTGATCATAGAGATTCCAACCTGGTGTATTTGTTTAAACTTAAACTTTGTGAATTAGATTAAGTAGGCATACCACTTTTGATTATGGCTTTTGCACAGTGGGGTTAATCATGACAATACCACTTTATAATAAAATTAGATTAGTTGAAACCACCATGAAAGGAATATACGGTAAGAGAAAATTTTACAAAATTGGAGTGGTTGATGACAACTAGAACACTAGCATTGCCCAGAACTGCCCGTGACGACTTTCATGCGGACAACCTATTTATTTCTCACACTCCTTCGACGAATAGCCAAAGTGTACAGCACTGCGCTGTAAAGTGGTGCACTTCGGAAATTGTTTATTCCAGTTTTTAGTGCCTTTTGTACCGTTTCTTTATGAGTAATGACTTATCTGTTTTATTTAAACGAAAAGCTACATATTATCTACATCTTCTCACAGTGAGGCATTCCAATCAGGGGTAACTTCATTGAACAAACGACAACATCTCATTTGGAAGCATCCCTGTGTTCTTAGCATCGATCTAACGGTGAGAGAGTCCAAAGAACATCCATGTTATACAGACAGAGGTAACAGAACATTATGGACTTTGACGCAGGGGCAAAACCAAAAATTTATTAAGGGGAGTCAAAAATAATTTTTTATTTCCTAAAGTTATATATATTTTTTTTAATTGAGGGGTCATAAAACTTATTTTATTTATTTTTTCAGAAATATAATTTTATTGACATTAAAATAGTTAATTGACAAGGGACCAAGGTTCCTATTGGTCTCAGCTTAGTTCCGCCCGTACTTTGACGGTTCATTATTTATTGATTATGATAGATAGTTATAAATCATTTCATTGGTTGACATAAAAAAAATGGCTGTCCCTTTTTCCCATATGTATGGGGTAAGAGGGAGGTAAGAAAGTAGGCTATTCCAACACCAGGTTGAGAGCAACTTCCGTAAGAGACCTCCGAATTATGAAATGCCCTCAACATAAGCCATTGGTTGACATACTATTAGGGATATTTCATTTAGAGGCATCTCTCATACACTTGCGAAAGGATTCACATTATCTCAATGCTCTCAACATCCTAGGGATCATGGTAGTTCACATTTTATTAAGTAGAAAGTCACAAAAATAAGACTTTATTCAGGAGGTTAGAGGCTTTCGTTCATTATAAAAGCAGAGTTGTCTCATTTTACGGTATCCATAGGTGTCATTAACACCAATCTAGTTGTGAATGATCCACGTACATCTTTGTGGCCCAAACGGAGGTCTTTGAGTGAAGAGGTTTGTGATATTAGGATCAACGATTTTTCTTCAAAGAGATTATGTAGTTCATCATTTTTATTTTGGGCAAAGAATTACCAGTTTTAGAGTTACGACTTTCAGTGTTTCAATTTCAATTCATCTTCAAAAGAATATACTACTTGATCTTCAGTGATTCATCTAACCGTTTATATGATTTACTTCATTTGGTTTGGACGAAGAATTATAGAAAGTGAATGTACTTTTTGGAGTGCAAGGTTATTGTGATTCTTTTAATTGATTTGAACAAAAATATTCCATTATCCTGACTTATTCGTATTTGGACAAATCAGGTTTTTGTTTTAATTTGAACAAGCTATTGACGTGAAATTTCACGTCAGAACATCAGTTTTGTTGCAAGCTCACAAAATTCTGCACATCTCTACACAATGGAGAGTGCCTCTAAGGCACGTTCCATTGAAAAAGATATATATTGTTGATGCTTGTTACATGAGTGTTACAACAAATCACCTATAATCAAACTGCTCGAGGGAATGGAAGGTGAAATGCTACATGATTATTTTACTCATATAACTTCTTGAGGTGGTTGTTAATGCTTCTGCTTTCTGTAAAGTAATCAATGACAACGAGGATGTACTTCTTTCTACCAGGAAAGAGGCCCAACAGATACATCCCTCATGTTGCAAATGGCTACAAGACGACAATGGCGTGGAGCGCTTCCGCATATGTTTGGGGAATCAACAAATACTGAACGGTTCAGGTTTTAAACTTTTTCATCACTCCCTGAGGCTGAGGCTTCTTTACCAACAGTAAGAGTTGGAAAGCAGCACAAAAATGATAGAGGTAAGTGATAAGGGTGATCAACAGGAGATTATTGATTGTCTTCTAGTACCAGACAGGAGATTCCCTCTCGACCTTGTCTTCCCCCAAGTTATCCGTTGCAAAAACACTCACTACTTGAAAAGAATTGGGATATACAGAACAATGACAGCCACTTTTTTTTGCTTCTAAGTTCCATTCTTCATTAATATCAACTCCCACTTCTAGTAAATATCATATTCTTTGTTTCTCTCTGCAAAATTCTGCAAAAAAAAAAAAAAATCCTTTCATTTTTACTGCAAATTATAATCAACTCTGCTGTTCATTTAGTTGGGTTCCCTTTATTACCTATGTCTTACATCTTTTTAGCAGCCCCACCATTGATTTGGTGACCAAAACAGGTATAATTGCAGTCGGTCACCATCTCTCTCTCTTTCTTAGCTTCCATGGCTTAATATGAATATGTAGCCTGAGGTGCAAACTGATCAGCTTATCATCCTTGGATTTCAACATGAAATCTTTCCATTGCTTCACATTTCTTCTTCCTCTTCTATTAACTCCTTCAACGGCTCTCAACAATGATGGGGTCCTTTTGCTTTCTTTCAAATACTCCATCCTCAGTGACCCATTATCAGTCTTGCAAAGCTGGAACTATGACGATGAAACCCCGTGTGCATGGACTGGAGTAAACTGCACTGAAATTGGAATTCCAGGAACGTCAGATGTGTTGAGGGTAACCAGCTTGGTCCTCCCCAATAGCCAACTTCTTGGTTCCATTTCAGAAGATATTGGCTATATCCAGCACCTTCGCCACTTGGATCTTTCAAGCAACTTCTTTAATGGAACTTTGCCGAGCTCTATTTTCAACTCAACTGAGCTTCAGGTACTGTCGTTATCTGGTAATGTCATCTCCGGTGAGTTGCCTGAATCCATTGGTGGGATGACTAGTCTTCAGATCTTGAATCTCTCTGATAATGCCTTGTCTGGGAAGGTACCCAAGAATTTGACTGCTTTTCAGAACTTTACTGTTGTGTCTTTAAGGGGCAACTACTTCACAGGTGATATACCAAGTGGGTTCGATTCAGTTGAGGTACTGGATTTGTCCTCAAATCTACTCAATGGATCTCTCCCCATAGATTTTGGCGGTGCTAATCTGGGTTTATTGAACTTATCTTACAACAAGATTTCAGGGCCAATATTACCAGAGTTTGCAAAGCAAATTCCTCATAAAGCTACCATTGATCTCTCATTCAATAACTTAACTGGTGCAATCCCGGAGTCTGCAACTTTGCTTAATCAGAAAACTGAGTCGTTTTCAGGTAACTTCGATCTATGTGGGAAACCGTTGAAAAACCCTTGTTCGATTCCTTCAACGCTTTCAACTCCACCCAATATGTCCCAGTCCATATCACCAGCCATTGCAGTGATATCGAAGTCAACTGACTCAACCCCAGTTGCAAGCTCAACACCTGGAGAACCAAATAACATCCAAAACCAAGCGAAAGCCAGCCTAAATCCAGGCACAATAACAGCAATAGCTGTAGCGGATTTAGCTGGCATCTCAATTCTCGGCATGATCGTTCTCTACGTATACCAACTCAAGAAGCGAAAAGCTCTCACCCAAAGCATCACAACAACAACAAGCAACGTCGAGAAAAAACCAGACGTTCCACTCTCGACAATAATGCCATCTTCGTGTTCATGCATCAAGTTAAAGCTCGTAGAGACATCGGAGACAACCAGTTCCGATAGCGAAATGGAAGAGAAAAACCAAGGGGTCAATGTGAACCCAACCGAGGAGTACCAGAAAGGAGGGGAGCTAGTGACGGTGAACGAGGAAACCGAGCACCTGGAGTTAGAAACTTTGTTGAAATCATCAGCTTATGTTTTAGGGACGAGTGGGTCGAGCATCGTGTACAAAGCCGTGCTAGAAAACGGCACTGCATTTGCCGTGAGAAGGATCGGAGACAGTTCAACGGAGAGGTTAAAGGATTTCGAAAGCCAAGTACGAAGCATGGCCAAGTTAAAGCACCCGAATTTGGTTAAGGTTCTAGGGTTCTACAGGGGAAACGATGAGAAGCTCGTCATCTATGAATACATCTCCAATGGCAGCCTCGGTTGCTCCAGTTCCAGTAAGTTCATCTCTCTTGTTCCCTATTATCTGCGTACGTTAAGTAGAAACTCTTTTCATTTCACTAAAATAAGCTGCATTACTGGTGTAATCGTATACCATTTTGCTAAATTACGCCTGCTCAATATGAACCGTTAGATTTGTATATGATGTCGCCCTCACCTTCTCTGACAATTCTGTCGAAATAAGTTTGTAAGATGCAGAAAGTTTGTGGGTATTGAGTGGACGGTAGCCCGTAAAAGATGGTGACAAAAAATCTTTGATAATAAAAGTGAGTCGGTAACTAACTCGGTAAAAGTGACGATGATGATAAAGAAAGGTGCATAATACGCCAAGGGCATGGCATGTGGGGGATACTGTCGCTTTCTTTAGAAAAACATTTAACTTTGCCAATTGGACCGACTCCATCTGTTACGTTTGGTCTTCTGGTTTTAGTCCCTTGAATAGAGGGATAATCCTCGAGCGTGGGTAGCAATGTAAATCAGTTGAATTAAGCTCAAGTACTGTTGAATTTTATTTGATTTAGAATTTTAAAATTAAGTTCAATTTAAAAGTTTGTGAGTTTAAAATTATTAAACACGACTTAAATTTAAAATCAATAACTAAAGTTTGACTCGAGTTCGAAAAATATTAAACTCAAAATATTCTCAAATTTAGATTGATTAAAGTTCAAACTCAAGCTTGGTTCAAATTCAAACTTAAATATGAACCCCAAGTAAATGAAAATATTATTATATTTTTTAAAAACAACATATAAATATTAATATTATTAATAATTTAATTTAAAAAATAAAATATTATTTTTTTTCAAGTTATTTATAAATTTTTTGAGTTAAATATCAAATAATTTGCTTCAACTTGTTAAAAACTCAAATCGAATTTAAGTCTAAATGATTCATTAGATCCAAATGTTAATAGAGTGAAACTCGAATAACATTCCATCTCTCGTCTCATTTTAAGCCCTAGGCGTGAGCCAAGTTTTCTGTCCCTTTTTGTTTTAGGATTTGCCAATTTGGTTTTCATAGTAAGAAAGTGGTTCTTTTTTGGTGTTTTCTAGACTGAAGAAAAACAAAAACTTAAAACAAAGTTTGCCTGATTGAATTGACTGACAGCTCGAGGTTGCATGGGTGTTGCATGAAACGATGGCATTAACCTAAGACACCATTATTTGGTTTTGTTTTTATTGCAACACAGGAAGATCGAGTTCATCATCGCCTTGCCATTTCACACTCGAAGCTCGTCTCAAAATCGCAAGGGGAGTGGCTCGGGGGCTGGCCTACATCCACGAAAAGAAACAAGTGCATGCCAACATCAAGCCCACCAACATCCTATTAAACTCCAATTTGGAGCCTTTAATAAGTGATCTTGGATTAGACCGTCTAGTCTCCGCCAGGTTTTTAAGCAGCCAACGATCAACAACCTCTCGAGATGGTCCACTCGACACAGCAGCCTCATCGTCGTCGCCGTATCGAGCCCCGGAGTCAATAAAGAACCTCAAACCAAACCCCAAATGGGATGTCTACTCATTTGGCATAATTTTGCTAGAACTTCTGAGTGGGAGAGTCTTCTCGGCGGCAGAGTTGGGGCAGTGGGCTGTACCGGCGGGTTCCGTCGGGGAAGAGAAGAACCGGGCTGTTCGGTTGATTGATGTGGTGATAAGGGGTGACATGGAAGGCAGGGAAGAAGCCGTGCTGGCATGTTTTAGATTAGGGTTCAGTTGTGCATCGTATGTGCCGCAAAAGAGACCTTCCATGAAAGCAGCAGTTCGAATCCTAGAAAAAAATGGCTTTTGATTCATCTTCTTCCTTTTCATGTTAAACCTATGGCGCATTTACGTCTTACAGAAAATGGTTGCCCTTTTGTTATTGTTTGTGTTTTAATAAACAAGGGGATTGATCAATTCTTCATCGTTGATAAGAGAAAAACAGTGCAACTTGTTTGAACCCTTAATCATAATAAATGCATATCCAGCACTTGATGTTAATTTTTAAATCAAATCCGGCTTAAGACAAAAATTAGTATCAAAAATACATTTTAGTAATTTAAGGGGTTAATTGAATCACATGTCTTTAAAGTATGACTCTCTTTTTAAATTGGTCTCTAAATTTTCAAATATTCTAAATTATCATTCTAAATTAATCCTCAAACTTTTGAATATTTCAATTTTATCCCCAAACCATGGCCTTCATTCTAAATGACTTCAAACTTTTCGAACATTCCAATTTCATCCTAAATTATACGTGTATACTAGTCACATCCCTTGTTCATACAAAAGATAGTTAGGGGCGTTTGATTCACGGAATGTAAGATTATCTTTGGGAATAACATCACTGGAATGTAACATTACTATTGGAATATTATATTACATTGTTTGGTTTGTTTAGCAGGAATGTAAGATTACAGTGTTTGGTTGGAGGAATATAAGATTACTTAGACGCATATTTTACCAAATTTTCCTTGTGATATATTTTTTTAAAGTTAAACTTTAATATTAATTTATAAATATTTGAATGAAAATTCATAAAAATATTTTAATCGTTATACTATCTAACTTTTGAGGAGAAATTACATTTAATATATAATTAATATAATTAGTATATTAAATTTATATTTTTTAAATAATGTTCATAAATATCATATTTATTTATATAAAATATAATGTAATATAAAAATAATATTACGGTAGTAAAATATTATTTTAAATGATTACATTTTTACAATAATACTATTTTTTTATCCCATAAAATTATAAATAGTAAAATATTGAATTTTAAATATATAAAACATTTTAAATTCTTAAAATTATTAATATTTTAGTAAATCAAACTCTTTATATATTATTATTATTTTCATAATTTTGAGTAAAATATAAAAAATAAGAATTTAGAAAGATCATTATAAAAAGAATTCATTAGTTCAATGGCATTATTGTCCAAAGTGGTGGAAATGTAAGATTACCTCAGAATTTGAAGGTAATGATATTCCCACCATTTTAATCAAAAAATACTACTATTGGGAAAATAGTATTCCCGGTAATGTAAGATTATGTGAATCAAACGCAAGAATACAATTCCTGAAAAAAAATTCTCTTTGGTAATGTAAGATTCCGCGAACCAAAAGCACTCTTGAAATTATATTATTATATATTTGGAAAAAAACAAAATTTAGATTAAATTATGGTTGAAACTAATTATATATTTGGATGAATTTGAAGATAAAATTAAAACAATTAAAAGATATGAGACCGATTTAAAAAAAATAATTTAAGAATGAAATTAAAATGTTCAAAAGTTAAATAACTTATTTAAAATGAGAATCATAATTTAGAGATGAAATTAGAATATTTTAAAGTTTAAAGATTAAGCTACAATTAATTCTAGAAAATAATGAGGAACATGAACCGACAAATCTGACACTAAGGCCTCGGTTTTCCACCATAAGCTTACTTGCAAACTGCGTAAGATTTTTGCGAAGAACTGCATAGCTGAGACGATCCTGGACACCCTGCAAACAATTGTCCCCCAAGCTACCCAAAACCGACGTCTCTCCAGCGAAAAAGGTTTACCGGTCAAGAAACAACCGTCGTAACGACTTCGTCTTGCTATATTCTAATGGAATGGCGCCACGTAAGCTGTTGTAACGCAACGACAAAGATGACAGTAGTTGGTAGTCAGCGAAGCTGGCGGGGGCGCTTCCCTCGATTTTGTTGAATCCGAGATTGACGGCGACGAGGTCGCTGTTGCCACCGGGGGGCTTCGAGATCTCGACTCGTATGAAGCTATTATTGGCTAAATCCACCTGTTGTAATGACGGTAAGAGAAAGAACCATGCTCCGAGTGTCCCGGTGAACGAGTTTTCACTGAGTTCAACGACCTCCAGCTGAGTTAATCCATTGAAAGACGATTTTGAGATATACCCGGATAAAGAATTTCCCTTTAAAGCAAGCTCTAGTAAGTTATATGGCAGGTTAGGTAGAAAACCAGTGAGTTTGTTGCAACTCAGATCGAGTCTCCTCAAACTAGAGAGCGAGTTCAGGGTTTTTGGCAAAGGTCCATAAAGAGAATTATGTGAAAGGTCCAAGGACTAAAGTGATTTGAGAGTCGTAATCGAGTCAGGGATTGAGCCAGAGAACATGTTGGATTTGAGAGTCAGACTCTGGAGACTAAGTAGAGAAGAAATGGAAGAAGGTATAGAGCCAAATACTTTGTCATCGGAAAGATCAAAATTGGTGAGATGGGTGAGTTGGGAAACGAGTGGGGTAAGTTGGCCGGAATAACCAGCAGGGTCAAGAGTGATTTGAGTGACAAGGTTGAGTCGAGCGAGCAAGTGACGCCGCAGGAGAAGTGGGTGCGGCGAGGGGTGGCTCAAGGGTCAGCTGCGAAGTCCCATGAAGCAAGACAAGACCATGAATGGATGGAGGTTGGGTTGATTGAGGCCTTGAAAGCTTTGAGAGCTGAAATGTCCTGCGGGACAGCCAGGCCCTGAGCTAGAGAACGGTGGAGGAGAAGAAGAAAAAAAAGGGTGTTGAAGATGGAGACATGATTTTGCAGTGTGTAATTTTTATTTTCCATTGTCGAAATCAAAGTGAATGATGCAAGCTTATGGAGTTTGAAGTGGATGCCACTGAAATTTTGTAATCTGATAGGTCAAGCCATATATACCCGCTTGCTATATAATCAATAAGATTGCAGCAACCTGACATAGCATATTAAAAAAATGAAAAAACTAGCCGTCACGTTTTAAACAACCGTACATTTTAATTTGGACCTTAGCATGTTTAAAAAAAATGACTGTCCCTTGTTTCTCATCTTAGCATATTTTAAACTTGTTAGTAATGTGTTTTAGCTATTAGCAAGGGTTTTCAAATCACCATCGTTGATAGTAAAAGAAAGAATTTTTATAAGATTAATATTACCATCTCCCACTGGCTTTACTCTTCCCATGGAGACCTCTTTGTGTTGTTGATGATGTGATGTGTTTTAAGTGGACACACAGGATTCGTACTTTACATATTTTCATCACTTCTCCCACACCCAACGCTCCATGTTTACCCCCACATTTCAGCCACAAAATTTGACCAGATATTAAATGCCCTAAATCTACTTCCAAGATGTGCTTAAACCAAGTTAAATGTTGATTTAATAATGAATTTGAATTACTAAGGGTTGATTCAAGTGATAAGTAGTTTGATATCGCTTAAATAAGATCTAAATTTGAATATTTGTGTATAGAAAAAATTCATCACCCACTAAAACTAAATGTACGATAGAAGTTGATCTTGATTAGTTAAGGCTAAGCCTTGAAACCAAAGAGGATAACCAAAATAAAAAATAATGAAGTTGTATTTTTCCCCCCACAAATTACACTCCTCTTCTTACTCTTTTATATATTTTCATGATCACTTATTTCATATGAAGAGTTTTTTAAAGCTCTTTTCTAAGATATCTTAAGATTCATCTAAAAATAATTTTACATTCTTTTTACATAGCTAAACTACTTCGATATGATCGTTGTCAACTTCATCAACAATTAAATCTATTATCTGTCAGTTAAATGTATCACATGCGACTCTATCAATAGCCATCGATCATAGGACTAACATCAGTCAATCTATCGCTTGGTGTCAAGGACATATATACCTATACAAAGAAGATTGAAGGAGAGGAACTTCAACCCCACACCACTGTTCATCGTTTTTTCTAATATTTTTCCTCCTTTTGTCCATATCATCATCAACTACGCTCTCCACCGAACTAAAATAAAAATGAACCGCTTAAGAGTTAAGTCTAACACCTTTCTACTTAAACCACCAATAAAAATTATCAAACTTTTTACAAACAAAAGTTAAAAATAGAATAACAAATGCGTTCGGCTGTTGGAATTGTTTTACGTGATCATCATGGGTTGGTTATCGCCAGCCAGGCTCTTCCCATTGCTGGTTATTGTGACGCTGGGGTTGTTGAAGCCATAGCCATCACAAAGGGCTTACAGTTAGCTGTTGAACTCAATTACTTGCAGGTCATGGTGGAAAGTGACGCAGCTAACGTAGTTCGCCAACTCACCTCGTCGCAGCTTGATATGTCCACGGTGGGATTTCACCTTGCTCATGCTCGACGTTTGCTAGCTGATCACATGAGTTTCCAAGTTCATAGTATACGTGTCGTTCAGCCAATATGACTGCACACAATTTAGCGCAGTATGCTTTATCTATTTCAGTTCCTATGTATTTTGCTTATGAATCTCCTTGTATAGAGGATATACTTGTGGATGATGTTATTAATGGCTAAGTTTATAATATTCGTTAACTTTAAAAAAAATAAGGATAAGGTAACATTTAATCTCTAAATTTAGTTATTTTCCCTTCATTAATCCGTTGAATTCTGTTATCATGTTAATCCCTAAATTTACATTATATGGCACAAGTTTATCCCTTCAATTAACACTGTTATTTTTTTAAACTCGAGGACCGATAAAAAATTATTCTGTGCAACTGTTGAAGTAAAAAATTAAAATAATTAAAAAAGTAAACAAATTACTTTATTTGGGAAGGGGTTAATAGGTCATTTTTGGGAGGGAAATAAAAGTAATTTTAGTTTTATATATTTAAACTAAGTTTTATTTATTTATTTTAATAAAAGTTTATTTTAAAGATAAATCTATAACTGGAGATTTTATTGGCCCTTTAGTTTATAAAATAACGGTATTAAAGGAAAGGATAAAGAGGGATCAATGTGAAAAAAAGTAATTGAACTTAGGACTAAATTCAAAACTTATAACGTTTTCTATTAAACACCTTTACCAATCTATTTATTATATTATGTTGATTTAATATTTTAAATATTATATTTTTGTATAAACTATTTTATAAATAATTTTTTGAATAGTATATGTAATACCCTAAAATTTGTCTAGTGACTAAAATGTAAGTTTTGAAAGTTTTGTGATTAAACTACAATTTTGAAAACAAAATTATACAGTTTAGCCCGGAAATGAATAAGTTGGTCTAAAACAAGGATTTTCGTGGGAATCATATTTTTGGTACGGGAATTGTGATAAAAGCTATAAAGCAGTAAATTTCGGTATTGAAATCAGATAATCGGATCGAACCGGAATTTTACAAAAATTTGAAGGATGTTATAAAATGGTTGGAATATTATTTTCATATTTTCGATCAGAGAAATTTGGCTCAGAACAGTGCAATTTTTCAGATTTGACCGAACAATGGAATTTTAGTGACTAAAATGCAATTTTTGAAAATTGCATGGTCAATTTCGAAAGTCAAAGTCAAGTTGTATCATCTTTGACCAAGGAATATTTTATTGGAAGATAATACAATGGCATTTGGTAATTTTCAAGATTTATTAAGGGCAACATGATAAAGTGTATTAAATGAATTTAATATTCATTTATATTATATAATGACATGTGTATTAAGGGATAAGGTCTAGCAAATTGAAGAAAATTTCAGTTTCTTCTTTCTCCAGCAGTCGTGAGACTCAAATTACAAGGTGAGAGGATTTGCTTTTAAATTTTTGGTTCATTTTATTAGAATTTTAAGTTAGGTTATTAAAGATAAAATAACCTACATGAATTTCTCTTTCATTTGGCATAAAAATCTTCATGTTTTATGCTCAAGTTGGTAAGATATTGATGAAGGGGAAGTGTGATTTTTATGATTAAAGATCAATTCTTGATATTAGAAGTGTTGTAAGAATTGAATAAGAACCAATGATGAAAATTAATGAAAACAGTTTAGATTTTCGAATATGGCAGTGAGTTTGAAAATTCACCAGAAATTCTATAAAACTTATTTGGAGGTTATTTTTTTATATATTATGTTCATATATCAATCTAGTTTTGTTTAAAATAAACGGGGATCAATTTAAAGGTGTATACAAAAAGATATGAGTTTTTAACTGAGGAAAGGTCAGAAAAACGGGCAGCAGATTCTGCATAAAACAGATTCTGTCAGTCAACTTTGAAAATTCACCATAAATTGTACAGATTGAATTAGAAGAAGTTATTTATATGGATAGATTCGTATTCGAGTATATTTTCCAATGGAAGAAACGGAATTAAATTTCAGTGAGTGTATCAATACAGAATATTGATTCTTTAAAGGTAGTGCAAGTTGTCTGAATATGGAAACTTTAGAATTTAAGTTGAAATAGATTAGAATATGAAGAGTAATTTTTAAATGTAAAAGTACCATTTGGGTGAGTTAGAATAATTCTGGAAATTTTGGAAAGTGTGGTGATTTTTGGAGTTTAAGTATTAAGTTGGGATTGAATTTCAAGTTTATCAAGTTGTAAGGTTGAAGTATTGATTTGAACTTTTATTTTAGTTGCTGGAAATTTTATATATTTAATGGGAAATGATCATAATAGTGAAGATCTATTATGAAATTAAAAGAAAATTTGAGTTTAATTCTGGAAAGAATTTAAAATATGTGGTTTGATTTTATAATTGGTAAAAGTTGAAGATCATTTTGGGAATAATTATTTGTGGAATTGAATAAGTGTTTTGAGAAATTTGAAGTTATAATGGAGCTATGAGTTAGGTTGATATCGATTTAGTTATCGATTTTATTTTATAGATTCTCAAATGTCAAAAATGAGCTTATGTTAGAACGATACTAATATGTAGTTTAAACATTTTGTGTTATAATTTGGTATTGTCAGATTACAATAAAACTAGCAATCCGAACAATCTGAAAGGAAAGGACAAAGCTTGTGACTAGTATTATCGTATACAAGTTCTTAAGTGAGGCAAAGGTGAGTGCAATTTATTTATTTAATTATTTTGATCGAGGACGACTTGCGATAAACCTTCTTTATTTCAAAGATATGAATTATGTTTTGATTATGAAATTATATCCATAATTTCTTTAATAAGTTTTATGAAAGTTTTTGGACATGAACTGTCCATGTCACATTTTAAGAATGTGAATTAAGTATATTTTCGACTATGATATGATGTTTATCAAATGGTTAAGAAATGAACTAAAAGCCACTGTATGTTATATTGAGAGTCAAAGGTAGAATTGGCATGCCATGAGGTGGAGTGATTATCTGTTCTGATTTTGATATACTGTGGTGTACCGGAGTGTATTCTAGTATATATATATTCTGATCTGAATGCACCTGGTGTGCATATTGTTATTTCTGTTGTGAGAGCACTGTGTGTGCTTATCTGTTCCGACTGATGATCTGATATATGTATTGCGCACACTCGTCTGGCTCACGTATCTTATATTCTCTTAAAGTATACTTTGGGCTATAAAAATGAAATAAGAAAGTTCTGAAAAGTGTCTGACTACAAAGAATTATGAACTTATTATTCTGTCTGATCTGATTATGTATGATCTTGTGAAAATTATCAGATGATTATTTGTAGGATTATGATAAAGTTCAACATGAGATATCTGGTTTGAATGTTCTGAAGAATTTCAGTCTGTTTTATTTTAATGATTTTATATATTTTGATATTTTATTTAATTATTCTCACCTTTAGTACTACTGCCTCACTAAGTTATACTTAGCGCGTGATGATTCTCATGCGTAGATTCTAGTAAGGATAAGTACGATCAATAAGGAGCTATCAGAGCATTTTTTGGAAAGACATACATATCATCAGTATCAGTAAGACATCTATGATATTTCTTTTGACTTATAGTGGCATGTATAATTATGTCAATAGTTTCTAATTATCATATTTATTTTAAATAAATTGTAATAGTAAACTAGAACTATTTTAGTTTATTTTACTTAGTTTAGTTTTATCGGTAACTATGCATGACAAGAATTTATTACATTATTATGTTTTTAAAAGGTTTTACGAAAAGACATGGTTTAGTAAAATTACTGAATAAATAATGAATTTATTTTCCTGTAATAAAGAAATAAATTATAATCTGAAATAGATTTTAAAATAGATTTTTAAAGTTAGAACAAGAATATTTTAAAAAGAAACAAATTTTTACGGAAATTTCAGTTCAGTAAATGTTTTCAGTTTGATGTGACATCTTTAACTCGTATATCGAGACATATACGGGTTAAGGGTGTTACATTTATTGGTATCAGAGCTACAGATTTAGCCGATTCTCGTCCTAAACCGAGCCTATAATATATCAAAAATATGCACATGCCACTAGGATGTCGAAATTACTGATATGTTATGGTATGATGATTTTATTTATGATGCTGCTCCTTACTAACGTAAATTTGTGCTTTTGTTTAGATGTCGGGTTCGGAAGGCAAAAGACAGGCCACCGAATAAGAGGTTCCCGAGGGAACTAGTAGTGGGAGTAGTAACGAAGTAGAGCACGTACCTCAACGTCAGGGAGAGCATGTACATCAAGGAGTACCCACTCCAGATCAAAGAACTTTCTTACAAGCTCTAGAGGCTATACTGGCTCGATATCAGCCGGCAGCAGCACCTCCTCTTCCTTCGCCCCCACCTCTCCCTCCAGTTCTGAGAATATCGGTTCCGAAAGAATTAAAAAAGTTTAGGAGCTGTAGAATTTAAAGGCAAATCAAATGAAGGCCCAATAGAAGCAAATATGTGGTTGAATGATGTAAAAATAATGTTGGACAGTTTTAACTGTTCCGATGATGAAAGATTTGAGGGAGTAGTTTCATTATTATGAGGTCAGGCTCGTATATAGTGGACGAACGTGACGACACGTGTTCCTCCAGATCAGATCATATGGCGGTTTTTCTTAGAAGCATTTCAGAAGAAATATATATTGGAGAGCAGTTTATTACTCAGATGAAGCATGATTTCTTTAATCTGATTCAGGGTGGTAAATCGGTGTACGATTATGAATGTGAGTTTAATAAACTTGCTCGATATGCCTCAGAGATGATTCCCACTGAAAGAGATATATGTCAAAAATTTATTCGAGGTCTTCGTCCCAGACTCAAGGAACTTCTGTTGGCTGTGAACTTGACCACTTTTCAGGAAGTTTCATCGTCATCTTTTCAGTCTAAAAGAGGTCGAGGTTCTGGTTATCGATATCAAAATAAAACTGAAAGTGGTGCTTCTAGTCGTAAAGGATTTGAGGCAAAAGAAAAAGGCCGACAGACTCAGATGACAGTTTCAGGAGCCAGTAGATCAGCTCGATCACAGGATCAGATATTGCCATGTCAGTATTGTGGTAAAAATCACCCTGGAGTTTGTAGAATGAAGACTGGAGCTTGTTTCCGTTGTGGAGATACCAATCACTTTGTCAGAGATTGCCCTTTAATTGGGGAGAGATCAGTGCAGACAGAAAGGTCTGTAGCAGTATCTCAGAGAGGCGATAGAGGCAGAGGCAGAGGTAGAGGGAGGGGGTACTCTGAGACAACCTCTCAGTCCGACGTTCGTGCTCCAGCGAGAATTTATAACATCAAGACTAATGATGATCGTGACGACCCAGAGATCATAGCATGTACTTTCTATCTTTATGATGAGCCTGTATTTGTTTTGATTGATTCGGGTTCTACGCGTTCCTATGTTAGTTCAGAATTAGTTAAAAATAAGAATATTCCGTTAGAACCCATTAATAGTGATATGATAGCTATAAATCCACTGGGTCATAGTGTTAGAGTCACAAGGATTAGCAGAAATTGTTCGCTAAAGATTAAAGGGGTTATATTCCTAGCGAATCTTTTGGAGTTACCGTTTGATGAGTTTGAGATTATATTGGGCATGGATTGGTTATCTCGGTATTATGGTTGGTAGATTGTCGCATGAAGCGATTATTTATAAAGGATGCAGAGGGTACCGAGATAATAGTAATTGGAGAAAAAGCGGGGTCTTTGCCTAATGTAATATCAACCTTTACGGCAATGAAATTGATGGAAAAAGGTTGCACAGTTTTCTTAGCAAATATGCACGATACCCGGACATCTGAAATTCGATTAGAGAATATTCCGACAGTTTGAGAATTTTCAGATGTATTTCCTGATAATTTACCCGGATTACCTCCTGATCGAGAAGTGGAATTTAAAATTGAAGTTTTCCCGGGTACATCTCTTATTTCAATGGCTCTATATAGGATGGCTCCAACGGAACTCAGAGAACTAAAGGCGCAATTACAGGAGCTATTAGATCGAGTTTTATTATACCGAGTGTATCTCCTTGGGGTGCACCAGTACTTTTTGTTAAAAAGAAAGATGGCTCGATGCGATTATGTATAGATTATCGTAAACTGAATAAGGTGACGGTGAAGAATAAATAACCTCTTCCAAGGATCGATGATCTGTTTGATCAGCTCAAGGGTGCTTTAATATTTTCGAAAATTGATTTTCGATCAGGGTATCATCAGCTAAAGATAAAAGAGGAAGATATTCCAAAGACGGCTTTCAGAACTCGATATGGTCATTATGAGTTTGTCGTGATGCCGTTTGGACTAACCAATGCTCCAGCAGTATTTATGGATTTGATGAATTGAGTATTTCAGTCGTATTTGGATCAATTTGTGGTTGTGTTCATTGATGATATTTTGGTGTATTCGAAGACTATAGAAGAACACGACACACAAATCCATATCGTACTACATACGTTGGGAAATAAAAGTTATATGCTAAATTGTCAAAATGTGAATTTTGGCTATCAGAGGTTGCCTTTCTGGGTCACGTGATTTCAGCAGAAGGAATTAGAGTAGATCCCAAGAAGGTACAAGATATAGTGGAGTGGAAACCTCCGTAAAATGTTTCAGAAGTCCGAAGTTTCTTGGGGTTAGCTGGATATTATCGGAGATTTGTGAAGAATTTTTCAATAATTGCATCTCCACTTACCAAACTACTTCGAAAGGATGTACCATTCGTTTGGAATGAAAAGTGTCAAGAAAGTTTTGAGAAGCTTAAAAAGATTCTGACTGAGGCACCGGTATTAGTACAGCCAGAGTCAGGAAAATATTATGTAATCTACAGTGATGCATCCCATAATGGTTTGGGATGTGTTTTAATGCAAGAAGGTAAAGTAATAGCCTATGCTTCAAGGCAGTTAAAGACGCACTAACGGAATTATCCGACACATGATTTGGAGCTAGCAGCTATAGTGTTTGCTCTAAAAATATGGCGCCACTATTTATATGGTGAGCGATGTTATATTTATACAGATCATAAGAGTTTAAAATATTTGCTCACTCAGAAATAGTTAAATCTAAGACAAAGAAGATGGATTGAGCTTCTCAAAGACTATGATGTGATTATTGATTATCATCCTGGGAAGACTAATGTGGTAGCTGAAGTACTTAGCTGAAAAACCTTTGCTGCTATGAGGGCGTTAGATGCACGACTATCAATGAAAGATGATGGTGCATTGATTGCAGAATTGAGATTGAGACCCGCCCTATTAGATCATATCAAGGATCTTCAGAATAAAGATAAGAAGTGTTTAGATAAAATGAAACAAGCAAATAAAGGAGAAATGACATATTTTGAAATTAAGTATGATGGATGTTTGTATTATCGGAATCGAATCTACATACCCGATGATGAAGAACTGAAGAAATATCTTCTTTCTGAAGCTCATTATAGTCCTTTGACTATGAATCCAGGAGGAAACAAAATGTATCAAGATTTAAAGAGTCAGTATTGGTGGGCATGTATGAAAAGAGCTATCACTGAGTTTGTTTCTAAATGTCTAACCTGTCAGCAGGTAAAAGCAGAACACCAAGTACCTTCGGGGTTGTTACAACCTATCTCAATTCCTCGATGGAAATGGGAACCGGTTACCATGGATTTTGTGACAGGTTTACCTTTGACACCTAGTAAGAAAGATTCGATCTGGGTGATAGTGGATAAATTGACAAAGACAACACATTTTATCCCAGTTCGAGAAGATTATTCTATGAACAAGTATGCTGAGTTATATATCAGAGAAATAGTATGACTTCATGGAATACCCATTTCGATAGTTTCCGATAGAGATCCGAGATTCACTTCGAGATTTTGGAAGTATTTGCATGAGGCATTGGGAACCAGACTAAATTTCAGCACATCTTATCATCCTCAGACAGATGGTCAATCTGAAAGAACTATTCAGATACTTGAAGACATGCTAAGGGCGTGTGTTATTGATTTTAAAGGATCGTGGGAAAAGTATTTGCCTTTAGCAGAGTTTGCTTATAATAACACTTATCAATCAAGTATCAAAATGGCTCCTTTTGAAGCATTGTATGGAAGAAAATGTCGAACACCACTGAATTGGTACGAATTAAAAGATCGAGATGTAATTGGTCCAGATCTAATTAAGGAGGTGGAAGACAAAGTGAAAGTAATCCAAGTTAATCTCAAGATAGCAGCTGATAGACAGAAATCTTATGCTGATTTAAAAAGAAAAGAGATTGAATATCAAGTGGGTGATAAGGTATTTCTTAAGGTGTCACCTTGGAAAAAGATTCTAAGATTTGGACGAAAAGGGAAATTGAGTCCAAGATTTATCGGGTCATACGAGATTGTAAAGAGAGTTGGACCAGTAGCTTATCAATTGGCGTTACCTCCAGATATGGACAAGATTCATAATGTATTTCATGTATCAAAGCTTCGAAGATATCGATCAGATCCTTCACATGTAGTTATACGGGAGGAAATTGAGATTCAGCCAGATTTATCATACGAAGAGGAGCTAGTAAAGATTTTAGCACATGAAGTCAAAGAACTAAGAAGTAAGACGATTTCATTAGTAAAAGTTCTTTGGCGAAACCATAAAGTTGAGGAATCAACTTGGGAACGAGAAGAAGACATGAAGAAAAAGTTTCCTCATCTATTTAATTCAGGTATGTAAATACATATGGAAAATTCGAGGATAAATTTTATTTAAGGGGGGAGGAATTGTAATACCCCAAAATTTGTCTAGTGACTAAAATGTAAGTTTTGAAAGTTTTGTGATTAAAGTACAATTTTGAAAAAAAAATTATATAGTTTAGCCCGGAAATGAATAAGTTGGTCTAAAACAAGGATTTTCGTGAGAATCATATTTTTGGTACGAGAATTGTGATAAAAGCTATAAAGTAGTAAATTTCGGTATTGAAATCAGATAATCGGATCGAACCGGAATTTTACGAAAATTTGAAGGATGTTATAAAATGGTTGGAAATATTATTTTCATATTTTCGATCAGAGAAATTTGGCTCAGAACAGTGCAATTTTTCAGATTTGACCGAACAATGGAATTTTAGTGACTAAAATGCAATTTTTGAAAATTGCATAGTCAATTTCGAAAGTCAAAGTCAAGTTGTATCATCTTTGACCAAGGAATATTTTATTGAAAGATAATACAATGGCATTTGGTAATTTTCAAGATTTATTAAAGGCAACATGGTAAAGTGTATTAAATGAATTTAATATTCATTTATATTATTATATAATGACATGTGTATTAAGGGATAAGGTCTAGCAAATTGAAGAAAATTTCAGTTTCTTCTTTCTCCAGCAGCCGTGAGACTCAAATTACAAGGTGAGAGGATTTACTTTTAAATTTTTGGTTCATTTTATTAGAATTTTAAGTTAGGTTATTAAAGATAAAATAACCTACATGAATTTCTCTTTCATTTGGCATAAAAATCTTCATGTTTTATGCTCAAGTTGGTAAGATATTGATGAAGGGGAAGTGTGATTTTTATGATTAAAGATCAATTCTTGATATTAGAAGTGTTGTAAGAATTGAAGAAGAACCAATGATGCAAATTAATGAAAACAGTTTAGATTTTCGAATCTGGCAGTGAGTTTGAAAATTCACCAGAAATTCTATAAAACTTATTTGGAGGTGATTTTTTTATATATTATGTTCATATATCAATCTAGTTTTGTTTAAAACAAACGGGGATCAATTTAAAGGTGTATACAAAAAGATGTGAATTTTTAACTGAAGAAAGGTCAGAAAAACGGGCAGCAGATTCTGCATAAAACAGATTTTGTCAGTCAACTTTGAAAATTCACCATAAATTGTACAGATTGAATTAGAAGGAGTTATTTATATGGATAGATTCATATTCGAGTATATTTTTAAATGGAAGAAACGGAATTAAATTTCAGTGAGTGTATCAATACAGAATATTGATTCTTTAAAGGTAGTGCAAGTTGTCTGAATATGGAAACTTTAGAATTTAAGTTGAAATGGATTAGAAGATGAAGAGTAATTTTTAAATGTAAAAGTACCATTTGGGTGAGTTAGAATAATTCTGGAAATTTTGGAAAGTGTGGTGATTTTTGGAGTTTAAGTATTAAGTTGGGATTGAATTTCAAGTTTATCAAGTTGTAAGGTTGAAGTATTGATTTGAACTTTTATTTTAGTTGCTGGAAATTTTATATATTTATGGGAAATGGTCATAATAGTGAAGATCTATTATGAAATTAAAAGAAAAGTTGAGTTTAATTCTGGAAAGAATTTAAAATATGTGGTTTGATTTTATAATTGGTAAAAGTTGAAGATCATGTTGGGAATAATTATTTGTGGAATTGAATAAGTGTTTTGAGAAATTTGAAGTTATAATGGAGTTATGAGTTAGGTTGATATCGATTTAATTATCGATTTTATTTTATAGATTCTCAAATGTCAAAAATGAGCTTATGTTAGAACGATAGTAATATGTAGTTTAAACATTTTGTGTTTAATTTGGTACTGTCAGATTACAATAAAACTAGCAATCCGAACAATCTGAAAGGAAAGGACAAAGCTTGTGACTAGTATTATCGTATACAAGTTCTTAAGTGAGGCAAAGGTGAGTGCAATTTATTTATTTAATTATTTTGATCGAGGACGACTTGCCATAAGTCAACCTCACATTGTTTATTTCAAAGATATTAATTATGTTTTGATTATGAAATTATATCCATAATTTCTTTAATAAGTTTTATGAAAGTTTTTGGACATGAACTGTCCATGTCACATTTTAAGAATATGAATTAAGTATATTTTCGACTATGATATGATGTTTATCAAATGGTTAAGAAATGAACTAAAAGCCACTGTATGTTATATTGAGAGTCAAAGGTACAATTGGCACTCCATGAGGTGGAGTGATTATCTGTTCTGATTTTGATATACTGTGGTGTACCGGAGTGTACACTAGTATATATATATTCTGATCTGAATGCACCTGGTGTGCATATTGTTATTTCTGTCGTGAGAGCACTGTGTGTGCTTATCTGTTCCGACTGATGATCTGATATCTGTATTGCGCACACTCGTCTGACTCACGTATCTTATATTCTCTTAAAATATACTTTGGGCTATAAAAATGAAATAAGAAAGTTCTGAAAAGTGTCTTACTACAAAGAATTATGAACTGATTATTATGTCTGATCTGATTATGTATGATCTTGTGAAAATTATCAGATGATTATTTGCAGATTTATGATAAAGTTCAACATGAGATATCTGGTTGGAATGTTCTGAAGAATTTCAGTCTGTTTTATTTTAATGATTTTATATATTTTGATATTTTATTTAATTATTCTCACCTTTAGTATTACTGCCTCACTAAGTTATACTTAGCGCGTGATGATTCTCATGCGTAGGTTATAGTAAGGATAAGTACGATCAATAAGGAGCTACAGAGCATCTTTTGGAAAGACATACATATCATCAGTATCAGTAAGACATCTATGATGTTTCTTTTGACTTATAGTGACATGTATAATTATGTCAGTAGTTTCTAATTATCGTATTTATTTTAAATAATTGTAATAGTAAACTAGAACTATTTTAGTTTATTTTACTTAGTTTAGTTTGATCGGTAACTATGCATGACAAGAATTTATTACATTATTATGTTTTTAAAAGGTTTTACGAAAAGACATGGTTTAGTAAAATTACTGAATAAATAATGAATTTATTTTCCTGTAATAAAGAAATAAATTATAATCTGAAATATACTTTAAAATAGATTTTTAAAGTTATAACAATAATATTTTAAAAAGAAACATTTTTTTACGGAAATTTCAGTTCAGTAAATGTTTTCAGTTTGATGTGACATCTTTAACTCGTATATCGAGACATATACGGGTTAAGGGTGTTACAGTATAAAATAATTATAAGATAATATATGTTTATAATTTTTTTAATATATAATAATGTATACATCATACAATGCAGTTACTTGAATTCAAGTTCTGTAAAAAAATAACATTATCTTTTAATTTTTACATTAGTTGTATAAAGTATTTGATTAATTTGGTAAATTATGTATTTAGTCACTTATTTATTCTTATAGTTATGTTTTGGTCATCTAATTTTTTTAAAAATTATACTTAACGGTACATTTTGATTATGGTTTGGTAATTCATTGTTAAAAATGAATAAAATTGTTGACATTGCAATTTTTTATGTTTTTTCAATATTGATATGGTATTATCTTATGGTAACACATTAATATCATCGTTAATATTTTTAAGAGTTGATGATCAAAACAACATTAAGATGTAACATTAGATATACTTTAAAAAAAAGTTGGGTGATCAAAATAAAATCATCAAAATAAGTGGGTGACTAAATACAAAATTTACTATATATATTTTATTTTTTATAAATCTAAAATAAATTTAAAATAATATATTATTAAAAACCTTTAATATTGTGACAATAACACCTCCACATAAACGGTACTCAAACGAGATCGTTTAGTTCGTATTTTTATTGAAATAGAATGTTTAGGTTCTACTCTTAACTCCAAAAATAAATCTAAACTGATACCACGCTCTCTGAAAAGCGCGTGATTGCCGTCACATGAAGCCAATGACACGAGCGCACTATTCTAAAAGCAACCATGCTTCATAAAATAAAATTTTCGAACTCACTTCACTTCACTTCCCAATTCCGTCTTCAACAATGACTCCCTTCTGCCTCCTCCACCTCCTCCTCCTCCTCTTCTCACCCGCCTTAGCCTCCACCACTGCCACCTCCACAACCCCTTACCCTCCCATCCCCGGAATTGGTTCCACCACTGATTGTGGCCTATCCGGAGGAGACGAGAATCCGGTTCCCATCCGTCGCGAAGTCTACGGTGACGGCAAGATATTCGACATCAGCCATAGGTACACCGTCGACATGCCCTCATGGGAATCCAAAGACGGAATAGGACAGTTCCTTTGGTTGCCTAAAAGCATGAAGAACGGTTCCCTCGCAAATAATTCGGAGATGAAACTTCCCACTCACACCGGCACCCACCTTGACGCTCCCGGACACGTCATCGATCGTTACTTCGATGCCGGCTTTGATGTCGATACCCTCGATTTGGAAGTACTTAATGGTAACTAATATTAAATAAAATCACATATTTGATATAATTAACTTCTTATTCTTCTTTTTTTTTGGTTGGAAATTCACCTTATAGGCCCAGCGCTGTTGATTGATGTTCCAAGGGATAAAAACATAACTGGTTTGTTTCTTTGGCTCTTATTTTCCATAAAATTTCTGGGTTTTCTTTTTCATATATACTTTTTTTCTTTCTAATTATAGCTGAGGTTATGGAGTCTTTGAAAATACCCAAGGGAGTACGCAGAGTTATTTTCAGAACCTTAAATACTGACAGGTAATTACATGAGAACTCCATGGAGTGATTAAGCAGCTTTCATAGTTAAAAGAAAAGGCAAATTCTGAACTTTAATCTGTACAGGCGGCTAATGTTTCAAAAAGAGTTCGATACAAGCTATGTGGGGTTTATGAAGGATGGGGCAGAGTGGTTGGTTAAAAACACTGACATCAAACTTCTTGGTGAGATAATTGCCTTCAAAATTCTTGCAACTTTTATATAGTTTGGTTCTTGCTTGCTATTTTTTTTGACGTTTTTCTTTCTATTCTGAAAATTCAGGAATCGATTACTTATCTGTTGCTGCCTTTGATGATTTGATTCCATCTCATTTAGTTTTCCTGGAAGGGCGGGTAAGAATCATCATCTTTTGTGTAACTAGATTCTGTGTTTGTGATTTTGATAATGATTTCTTGCATGGCTGAACTTGATATTTTCCAGTATGATCAGTTCATATTGTCGCCGAGTAAAATTTGATTTCCTGCATTATAAGTTCATGAATGGTTGTGTTTGGATTACTTGATTCTATTATGTCTTCGATATAAGTGATCAATGGCTTGTTCCTCTTCTCGTTCCTTAGTTCGACCTGGACTCACTGAACCATCATTCTTGGATGAACAAAGTGTCAGGGACAATACTTAGGTTTCTCATTAAATTGCAATGCTGGTCTAGTCGATTGGGGTCACTTGACTTGGTAGTGTTGTGCGTTGCAACTCTTCTACATCTGATATAGGTAAAACTTAGAAAGGATTTTCTAATGTATTTAAATTCTGAACACATTAAAATTGATTAGCTAGTTGAGAATGATACATCTGCTCCAAGTTCGGGTTCCATTTTTTGTTTCCTTTTCCTCCTGCACGTGTATTAGTAAGTCTCCTCTGTTCTGTTGCTGCAAGAAAATCCGATTCCGGGGTAGAAATGTGGTATAAACAGTGACCTCCCACGAATTTCTAATTCTTGACATCCACTGCAGGATATTATTCTTGTGGAAGGCCTAAAACTTGATGACGTCCAGCCCGGAATATATTCGGTTCACTGCTTACCTTTAAGACTGCTTGGTGCTGAAGGATCACCAACAAGATGCATTCTCATCAAATGATGTATTCTCCTTGTAAGTCACGCATTCTTGCTTTAGTTATGGAATTGTTGCTACTGTTGGCTTATCCTCTTACAAATTCTACATGCTTATCATGTTAATTAGACCAATCTGTTTATGTTTTCACCGTCATTACCGAAGACTTCAGAAAAGTGGGTGCTTTCTTCAGGCAACGACGATGCTAAGGTGAGGCGATTGGTAGGAATAAGGCAAATAATGGACTTACGTTACGTACACTAGAAGGTAGCTACGGGTACCAAAATTTAGTTTTGTCGAAGTACACTTTTCGTGTATCGTAGTATATTTCTTGAAGGCTTTGGTTATCGCATCTGAATGTCATTGCTAGATCTTTGGTCACTGAACAGAATTGGGGTGGAAATGATTTGTTTCACAGATTTATCTTTGGGAAACCAATGTTTATGAAAAGTTTACATAGCGTTTTAATTCCAGGAAAGACCAAAGTATATATGCATTCCACAAATGAAAACAGTTGCAATCACTTTTTGCATTGGAATGACTTTTTTCTGTTTTTGATGTCATGATTTCAATATCTAGAAAATTAAATATAACACCCTTCAAATGGCCCATATCAAATTGTGGTTTAGACTCTAAATTAATCCCTAAAGCTTGAAAAGAGTTTTGATTGAATCTTTAGAGTATAATATTATATGAATCAAGTCTTCTTGTCAATCTAATCATTAGTTTAAACTTTAAAAGGTCAATTCAAATCTAACAGTATTGCATGACGACTTATACTAAAGTATATTTAAACCTTGCCATTAAATTATAAGTACATACATTTAAATAATGTGAATCAAAAATCAACAATAAATTGGTCTAGTATGATAAATCCCTTAAGTACTGTCAAGAGTTTAAATTGAAACTGGTTTGAGATCGCTCTCATAATGACTTTATGCAAAGCTTAATCTAAAATAATCAATCAATATATTAAATATTGTTGGTTAAACTATAAAAACCATAAAAATAATGTGAACCAAAAAATAAATAGTTATATATTTATATAGATAATTTAGATTTGATGCGCTAAAAAAATATTTTATTCAAATTATATATTCAATATAAATACTTATATGGTGTATACATATATTTATAATTTAATTAATCTATTCTAATATATTTTATATTATATTTAAATTCACATTTAGTTTTGAAGTAATGATTAATAAATTATTAACTCTTTAAAATTTTAATAAAGAAGAATTTTGCCGCAATCAACTTATTTTTACTGGCTGTCGAACCTTATCAAAGTAAAGCGAAGAAGCACGTAACCATTGAAGACAAGGGAACAGACAATAAAATCGGCTCCTAGAGAATAATGTACTAATATTTTCTAAATATTCTATTCAATTTGATGGCTGTAGTCGGCAAGATATATTCCAGTCAAAAATTTTGTAAAGTCAAAAACATGTGTATGCTTTTCTTTCCTTCATTTATTAGCTGTCAACTACAAAACACTCGAACCGGCTTTTTATCTTGAAACTAGTTCATTTCGGAAGTTATTACCATGTTTAGAAACATGAACAAAAATATCCTCCTGCTGCTCCTTTGTGCCTGTGGGTTGCTTTCTCTTAGCATCCTCGCCGGTGCTGCTGTAGGTTATGGTGCTGGTAATGGCAAAATCTTTGATATAACTCACAAAATCACATCCGAGTTGCCAATTTTTAACTCAAAGAACGGGCTGGGTCACTTCATTCGGCTTGTTTCAAGCATTAAGAATGGATCCTTGGCTAATGAATCTGAGTTTAAGTTGGGAACCCACACTGGCACTCATGTTGATGCCCCTGGCCACTTCTTCCAAAAGTATTATGAGGAGGGCTTTGATGTTACTACTCTTAGCCTGCAAACACTTAATGGTAAACTCAGATTATAAGTATGCCACAAATTTCTTTCTTTCTTTTGTAGTTTTCTTTTGTCTTTTAATGGGTTTTCATGTTTTATTGTTTGCATGTATAGGTCCTGCTCTAGTTGTTGATGTTCCAAGAAACCAGAACATTACTGGTATGATGGGGTTTCCCCTTCTTTCATTGATGTTCATGCATGTTTTATTTTCTACAACTTTTAGGGTTCTAAATGTCACTTCAGCTCACCCTAGAATCATTCCTTTTTCTGGGATTTTTATGCAGTGATAACTGGTTTAATAAAAAATCTTGTCTGCTAGTTACAATCAAGGATACTTTCGACTTCAACTTAGTGTTTTGGCTGTTGAACATCACAAAATAGATCTCTCTGCATACAAATTCCATTTTTTTTAACTTATATTTGTGTTTAGTTATAGTAATTAGCAACTAATATACGATTATCTACAGCTGAAGTCATGAAGTCGTTGAATATTCCCCGCGGTGTACATCGTGTGCTTTTCAGAACACTTAATACTGACAGGTGAACATACATGCGCCCACCTCTGCATCATACATATATGAATCAAACATGGTGTAATTTCATGATAGTGGAAATATGTTAACTTTGATGTTTAGGAGGCTGATGCATAAAACAAAGTTTGCTTCAGACTTCACTGGGTTTAAGAAGGAAGGGGCACAGTGGTTGGTCGATAACACCGACATCAAACTTGTTGGTAAGGTTTCAGATTCTCTTGATAGCAAGGACATGTTGGGGTCAAGACGTTCCATAGATTGTGTTCTAATTCTGGTTCAGTGGGTGCAAATATGTTGATCAAACTCATTGTTATGGTAATAACCATTGGTCTGTCTATATGAATTGTAGGACTTGATTACCTATCTGTTGCTGCCTATGTTGATGCCGCCCCAACTCACCTTATATTCCTGAGAAGCAGGGTAAGAATAAAGAGGTTTCTCTTGTTAATTTTAGATGTGAACTGAATTGTTAACCCCAATTACTCTGGTTTAAAGACTAGTGTTGGAATGCATTATTGAAACTGGTATATTTTATACAGGAAATTGTTCTAGTCGAAGGTCTAACCTTGATGGAATCGAGACAGGGAAGTATGGTTCATTGCCTACCGCTAAGGATGGTTGATGCAGATGGATGCCCAGCAAGATGCATTCTTATTGCATAAAACAATGCCCTGAAGTAAGTTCTTCCACCATCGGAACCAGAAACGGAAACTTTTAAGGTGTTTCGGGTTTGATCATAATTGCTCTTGTACATTTACTTGATACTGTGTTTTTGCAAAGTATGATAATAAATACCCTTAAAATTGCTGCAGGAGATGAGGACAGGCATGAACTATTGAGCTATCTTGGACAAGTTGCTTTACAGTATTTTTCAATAAGAACACTTTGGGGTTGGTTAAAACTTGTTTGTGGGTACCTTAGATCTAGGGCTTAATCCCCTTCTCCGATATTTAAAATTCGATATGAGTAATCATTTGTGTCTTTTTTATAATTGCACATCAAACAGAAATGCAAAATATGATTTGCAAACAACAATCTATAGCTTTAGAGAAACCCACAGTCTATTCTCCCACATTATTCCTTATAACACCACCACGTGTGACTAAACCTGGATCATGCTTCAATGCACCATGCAAATCATTTCTTATAAATAATTTATAATAATTTAATAACAAAAATATGTGCAGACCCGAAACCAATCAAATTTTCATATGATTCAACTTTCAAGCTAGTAAAAGGAACAGTTAAAAGGTGAGGTTGAACTATTACCAGTAATTTCCATGGGCTTCAAGTACTCTATGTTTGTGATAAAATCTTTATGCATCATGGTCACGGGTTTCCCTTCACTCGAGTAATAAAAAAACAAGAAAGTGGTCCAGCGCTCTTGTCAATCTAGAAATCCAAAGGCTTCATCTCCTTGTATTGGTTAAAACACCCACTTCCTTTATATCAAAATGTGATAACTCCATTGCTAAAAGACTTTTGCCTTCTATTTTGAAGATTATTGTGAGTATCAAATTCTGTCTGTGAAACAATGGCCACACTGTTTTAAATTACTATTTTGTAGGCCAGTGCTGCTGCTCACTTAGTCACTTGGGATTTTCACTCGCTTGATATAATATTGATATTTTAAAGATGTTGAAATTTAAGAACTAATTTAAAATCTAAACCATAGTTTTGGGACCTTTGTGGTATTAACCCTTTCTATAATCCAGAATTGTTAACAATTGATTAGTGATTACTGTGTTTTAGTTGATATTGGAACTTTCTAAAATGATTGGCTTTTTACCAGCTTGTAAAATGGTTGGGCAATAGAATTTCACCCTGTTAATGACTTTGTTAATCCGTTTGGCTTGGAGTTTTCGTTGTCCCTTTTGGTTAAAGTTTTTTCTTTTTTGGTTGTGAACAGGTCTGAATCTGTGTCTTCCATAATGTCCACTGAAGTCTATGTCCACGGTTCAGCTAAAGCCTAAAAGCATATCTATCAAAAACAGAGGGAGTGGATCTGATATGATGAAAATGGCTATTACTTACAGTAGCAAAAGATTGGTTTGGGACATAGGGCATTAACTTAAAAAAAAAACCTTTTATGGCACAAACAAGACCCTGTTTGAAATTCTGTAGCCTCTTGCCTGCAAAAAGATATTCAAAATCTTTGTCTGGGAACCAGACATATTTGCAGGTGGGGACGGACGGGACGGACAAGTTTCAATGTTGGCAATTTGCACTTCGATACAAAGGAGTGAGAATAAACATCGTTTACGCTCACTAAATATAAGTTGTAATGATTTGATATGGTCATAATATAATATCTATGAAAAAATTGAATATTGAAAATACATAAATGTCCTACGCACGCAGGTAATTGAATATATATACTCGAGAAACAAAATATTCTATTTACCACTAAAACGTTCATCAACTCCGTCTTCAAATGCTCATTATTGTCTCTAGGTGGTACCAAAACGAAACTCCGTGTTCAAAGTTATTGTGGATGGATGTGTGGGAAGACCTAAGAACCTGCAATACTCCAATTGTCCTTTTCTCTGCCTATGAAAAGGGAGTATCGAGGCCCAAAAGCCAAGTCTAGAGCAAGGCATTGGCATAGCAATAAATCAAAAAGCTTAGATGGGGAGGTGGTTGAAGTGTTTTGGGGGTATAAATAGTTGAGAGTTAATGGAGTAGTCATTATTCCCAAGACGTGGATGTCCTAAGTTGGGCAACCAATCAAGAGGTGGAGAAGCAGTTGCGTCAGTTCATTTAGTATGTTAGATAGGCTTGTTTATTAATCGGACAAGTCAAGCTAATCGATGAGCTGTTGCTCAGTTTTCATCACACAGTTGCAATGTCCTCTTGCTCAGTCCTCGGTCAAACTTACAACCTTTGATAATCAACTCCCGTAAAAGTTTGTTATATATGTTGATGGTAATAAAAGGTCGTCGGTCTTGAGCAATTTATTCCTTTTAGTTTAGTTGGAGAGTTATATATGATGTGAGAATGACAATTGGTCGATATTTTTATATAAATCGGTTTACCATAAACTTGTAAAGGAGAAAGACGAGTGTTTATTGTAAAAGGAGTTGGCCTTCTTCTCGGATTTGTTGAGGAGTATTTATAGTGACTCTCATTATGCATGTCAATCCTATGATCATTATGATTATTTATAGGCTGACAGACTAGACAGATTTAGTCGTCAGATTTTAGATTTTATTCGAACAAGTCACGTGGGTCTATTAAAAGTTGTCTATATATTTTTGGTTGATTCAAAAAACTTATAAACTTATATTTAAAGGAGTCGAGTTCTCTGGAACCTCTTGTAATAGATGGATAGACTTGGATTTTTGACTGGTAGAGGAATAGTGGTTTTCAGATGTTGCTCTTCAAAGGTATTATTGAGTTGAATTCAAATTTAATTAACGAATCTATATTAAATTTAATAATCCTAAAATTGAATGAAATAATCGCATTGTTTTGATGTGGTAATATATTTTCAAGATTAGAATAATTTTATACTCCGAAGGGGGTTTAAGGTTAGAAGACATGTTCCTACAATGATGAAGCGGATTGTACAGGGTTACATTACATTGCATTACAAAGGGTATAGGATTTTGGCATTTGGCGGAGAACTGCCAAAACATTGGATGCCGATGGACATTAAGTATGTAACCCCAAGGGGATGTAAACAAGGACTTGCCACCATTATTTGATTCACGTCTTTGATGTGCAAGGGCTCCATTTTCTGAATGCATTGGGTCCATGCCACCACTCTATTTCTTTTCCCTCTCTTGTCCCCCATCCCCATACATATTTCTTACGAGTTTGACACATATTTTATTCATTTGAACTCGTAACTTCTAAAGTGAATAATACTTCTTTTATTATCGAGACCGTTTAATAGGTTATAGGCCATTGAATTTACAATGGCATGGGGTAGACTTTCATAGTAAGGCCAGAGTTTGTCATTTCCCACATTTATAACAAGTAAAACTTTGATTAAACCACATTTATGATCTGATTACTAACTTTCACATCCAGATTAATAGGTAGAGATCCAAAGAGAAAGGAAACAAAATAATTGAGTCCCGTTGAATTTGATGATAAGATGTTAATTGGTTTGAGGTATTTTTAACTTTACAGCCAAAAGTGCAGGTACAAGATTGAAGAAGCTAACATGGAAAGAGTAACCCATGTTTGTTTCTTTATATTTTGAATTTTATTGTGCTTTTTAAACTTTACAGCTGTAAGCAAATATATATACGCAAAAGGAATACATGAGAATCATCAAGGGTTTTGGTCCAAGTGATTTAAGTAAGAGCAGAGAAGGCAAAGTCAGAGAAGATTATCAAGTATTATTCCACAATTATTGCTGATGTGTGTACATGCCACTCCATATTAAATTACATTTAAATCTAAAATTTTATAAACAGGTAAAATTCATTCTTAAAATATTGAAATAAAATTATAATATATAAATATAGGGATAGATGTAGAATTTTATATTGATCAGTGAATTTATAATATTTTTTGAGATGATGAATTTATAAAAAAAATTGGATTAGAATATTTTATTAAAAATATATAAAATTTTGAAATTTTCAAAGAGAGACGATCGTTCTTTTATTCTATCATTATATTAATAGATACATACAACTCAACCGAGAGACTATGTTGCTTATAATTCGGTTCAATATATTTTGTCGAAGATCAATATTCCTTAATTTGTTTATGATGTATCAAAACTTATTTCGAACGATATTATTTTTGACGCTATTAACATTTAAATATATTTCTACTGTTTAAAGAAAAGGCCTGTTTGGGAGCGAGCTGTTTCCCTTTGGGGAAAAACACAATCATAAGCATTTGCACGCATCTGCTACATTATACAACTTACCAATCATAAAGTAGAGGGGGGGGGGGACCCAAAGACAACGTTTCATTGTATCAAATATTTTGCCTCCCAATATCGAAAATTGGTGTATAATAATATGGGGAGATTGAAAAATTGTGATAAGATTTTGAGCTTTGAAAATAAAGTAATAACTACTTATTTTTTGGCATACAAAAATAAAATATTATTCATTTAGTGATTTCAATGATTAAAAGTAGAGTTATTTCTTTCTTAAAAATATGTGTTCAAGTAGATGTATATGTAGATTACGTGTGTATTGTTAACGATAGATAAATCTTTTATTTTATGAAAAATAATAACTGAAAAATCTTAAATATATATTATTTTATAATTATTATACTGTTAAAAATAAAAGGCGGAGAAGCATGCTCTATCTTTATAGATTCAAAGCCTCCAATATTACCATCCATTCCAACACGCGAAAAAAGTAAAAGAAATTGTTCTGCGCCCTTTTTAATAAATGGATTCTTTTTTCTTGTAATACGTAGATTCTATTTTTAAAGGGAATGCAATAGTTAATTTAAGTATTGATGTAAATAATAACCCATTATCTAATTCGAAAAAAATAGTTTATTTTCTAAATAATTTAAATAACATTCTGAATTCGATCTTCATTAGATGAATTTGAGACGTTCTATCAAACCGTTGAATCAACAGTTAAATTTAAAAACATTTTTTTTTAATTTGAAATCACAATATGAATTCAAACAAAATATGACATTAATAACAGTTAAATATTTTAATAAATATAAAATTATGTGACAATTTAGTTTAGATCTAGATAATATAAAACTTAAAGAGTTTACAAATTGGGTGCATAAATAAATAATGGTCATATAACTACACATATCCATTAAAATAATAGTATTATATTTTGAAATGACGTCATTTTAGGGGATTTGATTTGACCCAAGATGTCATCGTTTCAGTCGAACCGCCTACCTGACGTGGAGCTCCCTAAGATATTTGTTTTTTTATTTTTACATTTTTGGGTAAACTACAATTTCGATCCCTCCTACCTTTTTAGATCTTGGAACTCAGTCCTTTTTTGTATGATT